TGTATGCACCCTGCTGATCCATATGTAATATATCAGTGCATAGGGATGATGGCGTCATAGGCAGATTGACCACCTGTGCTTTTGTTACTGCAATTATTTCTATAGTACTGATTAAATAATGTATCACAACCCCAACGTGCCTTCTTCAACCATAACAGGGATTTATGTAGACCTCTAGAGGCCGGCAGCAGCAAATATCTCCAATAATTGGTAACGTAGTTACGACCAATGTAATGGCTTCGTCGAGGTCGTAGTTGCCTGGAATGCAGTGTTAGAATACCTTGGACAACAAGAACCCACCAGAGGAACTTAGTTTGGAGTCGTCGATGAATCCGAATTAAAATCACAATTAGCTTTTCAAATATAAATTCAATGAACAAATTTATTAAGTGGAATTTCTTGATCTGTTTTGCAGTGTATACAATATCCCATTATGATTATATAAAAATTGATTATTTTCAAGGTAAAGACAGATCGGGAAATTGTTCTCATTCTGATGACTGGAATTTATCTTCAATGATATCAGCCAAGAGAGGAAGAGTGCTGCAGTGAGGCCCCAAACAGGTGGCGTTCTTCAACCATCATCACCTCCCCTGCCAGAGCGGATGTGCTGGATTGACATAGGCTGACATCAGTTACATGACACATTACACCATGTACAGGTTACATGACTGTGTGTCTATATTACACTGCATTTTACTGCGTGCTGGATGCTGAGTTATCACAAAATGATATGTAATAACTGTTTCTTAACAATGTATTTCAGCATCAGTGGTCACAGGACAGTATTTACAGGCATGTCGGCCCTGGACATGGCTAGGTGACTTCTTGTTCAGCGACAACCATATCACAACCGTCCCAACCATGGATGGGCAACAGGCGCCACCACCGAACTAACAATAGAGAAGGAAATACTTAGTGAGGGTTAAGGAATCTCAATAAAAGATCAATGAAGCTCAGCTGAAACTGTCTAAAAAACTTGAAACATCATTCATTGAATAACCTAAATGACATAGTGCCAACCTGTAAGACTACTGAAATTGGTTTTTGCTCATGTTTTTGTAGGTATGGAGATTTTGTCCCACCTACTGACTTCAAATATACCGTGGCACAATATTAAATGCCAATGTTGCAAAAGCTGTTAGTACTTGATGAACAGAGACATGTGAAAGCTCAGATGATTTATCACACATTGCTACCTAATCGCAGATAAAAGCTAGGATTCGTATCATAATACATGTATGTGGTTAAAGCGTGTATTACTAAATGATTAAAGGCCAAATGCTATATTTCTAGATCCAACTTTCTGAAGGGCCCGGGTGAGTATATGCTAAGAGAAGACCTCCACTTATTTCAATACCTCACCCTCCAACTTCCCGAATCAATAACTTGGTGAATTAAAACGTTCCACAAACGTGTATACTGATGTATGTAATGTCCCAACAATAGTTTCTGGTATTGATTTATATCTCAATGAAAATACTTCACTCTTAGTAACATCCTGTTTCAAAGACAAACATCAGAAACACCGAAACGTCACTCCCAGTTGTAATAAAGAAGTTGTTCATCCATATATCTTATTCTTACTTATGTGGAATAAATACCTGGTTTGATAAACAAAGAGTGTTATGTAGATAAGACTTAAGTGCATACCCTGGAAAAGATAAGTCGGCATGCGGCATCAATGACTCCAGTCAAATAGTGGGGTATACACATACATGGTATGCGGACATTGCTTGTCTACCTGGGTTGTGAAAGAATTTTAAAATGTGAATACTAAAGAAGCATCAAGGAGGTCTACACACTGGTTGATATTGGTGTAGTGTCAAACAATTTGTATAGTTGACACTCAATGACTGATAAAATATGTTTCAAAGAACGGCTGTATTCTTAAATAACAAAACTTCAAGATTGCTTACAAAATGTACTGTGACCATACAACTGCAACGCTTTACGTTGTGTTTCCTTGTTTTCTATTGAGACTCCTGGTAAGAATAGGAATACTGTCTCCCCCTGGTGGGTTTCCTATGGGAGTAAGAGCCTATGCTTGGCATAAGAGGTGACTAAGTGGATCAGATGGTCAGGATCGCTGAAGAAATGTGGAAAGGTGACGCTTTTTAAATATTTTGCTTTAAAAAAAATAACATACAACATATGTGACTCTATCCATAAAATAAATACTAAACATGGAGAACACTGTGAGTTTAGGATAAATACATAACACACTGTGAGAAGCAAGGGAGAAAACATTAATTGATGTTGTATGCTAGTTCAAGGTCTGTCGAACTTGGAACATAAATCTCTCCCTTCACACTGGTAAACTGGAATGGTTTTTTAAACAACCAATTTGAAAACAGTTTCCATAAAATAATACACAATAAGCGCAGTCCACTTCAATACTTCTGTTGCTATGGACAACGTCGTAAACAAAGTAATTTAAAAAACGTGAAACATTTACACACTTAATTAAAAGTAAACAAGTCTATCCCATAGCGAAGTCTTTTGTATTTCTTGAGTATAGAATCAAAACTTTGGTATTCGATAACATTTGTTTAGCTAACACTTGCAACTTCAAGGTCTTAGAAATACGCTCAGCCGATCATTCGACCTGCAGTTGATCACAAAATCTGTGTGCGCTGCATGTCTGAAACTTATCGCTTATATCACAATGGTCATATTTTACATGTTGGGGGTGATGTTCCTTCACTCTGAGAGAGTACAAGCTGCTATTGTTTCCGAGAAGCTCTGTCTGAATTCTGCATACAGACTGGTCAACTCTGTCACAACAGACAACTTCTCGGGCATCCAGTCTGTGACAACATCGTCCCGTGCTGAATGTCTTGCTCGGTGTGTCGGCGTCAAGCCCTGCACCGGCGTAGTCTACTGCCCCGACGACGACGTCTGTTACCTGATGGCAACGACAGCTGAACCAGGCAGCGTCCCCCGCGTCACGTGTCAACTGTTTGTGGAGGATGATGCTAGGATGCAGGTGAGATAATTACCCTTTTCATAACCACAGCTCCTGATAACACAGAGTTTTGATACTGGCAGGTTTCCGGTCCATTGTTTGTCATTCTTGTCGCCATATTAAACATTCTTGGAACACAAACCCGAAGTAACCGAGTTAGAATAGTTCCTTACACTCTGTTGTCTGAGTGGCGACTCAGTGGATATGGTGTCAGGCTTGGTGACTTGGTTGATCAATCCCTGGATTGTCTCGCCCAGACCCGGTCATTTATTATTCCAACATGGAGGAGGTTTTAAAGAGTCTTTTCTTAATTTGACAGCGGTTAGTTGGAATTGGCAGTTGATTTCATCCACAAGTTGCAGTGATATATGACAGAAAGAGACAAATGTGCTCTTTAGAATGAATGATGTTTTAAGGAGAGAAAAGCGTAACTGACTGAGGAAGACTGACATTAATTATATGTAAACGTACATAAAGTCCTATCACTATATAATATGAAATCTAAGTAGGCTCACTATGCTGTAAGTTAAACACAACACGGTGTTGAACCATCCTCACGCACTGGCCTGGGGGCAAGTGTAGAATGTAAACGTTCATAACAATCAGTACAATTTTACAGAATTGTATAGACGCACATTCCGAATACAACGGTAACAGCTGCAGTACTCAGAAGGTAAAGATCCGGGTTAGAATAGGTTTTCATTAACCTATTCTTGTCGTAAGAGGCGACTAACGGGATCGGGAGGTCAGGCTCGAGGACTGAGTTGATGCATGTCGTCGTATCCCAATTGCGTTTGTGACTGGATCACCAATCAGTGACTGGATTGTCTGGTCCAGACCCGATTATTTACAGACCGCCGTCATTTAGCTGGAATATTGCTGAGTGCGGAGTTAAACAACAAACAAACAAACAAACAGAAGGTAAAAGGGAATATTTTGGACCATCTTAACTGGGCATCATCTCATGCAGGGAACGACTGATGTTCTGACTTCGGAAGCCATCACATCATCCACAACGGAAGCCATGACATCCTCTACAACGGAAGTCATGACATCCTCCACAATGGAAGCCATCACATCGTCCACGACAGAAGCCATCACATCCTCCACAACGGAAGCCATGACATCCTCCACAACGGAAGTAATGATATCGTCCACAACAGAAGACAGCACATCCTCCTCAACGGAAGCCAGCACATCCTCCACAATGGAAGCCAGCACATCCTCAACAACGGAAGCCATCACATCATCCACAACGAAAGCCATCACATCGTCCACAACGGAAGCCAGCACATCGTCCACATCGGAAGCTAGCACATCATCCACAACGGAAGCCATCACATCATCCACAACGGAAGTCATGACATCCTCCACAACGGAAGCCAGCACATCGTCCACTACGGAAGCCAGCACATCGTCCACAACGGAAGCCAACACATCCTCGACAACGGAAGCCATGACATCCTCCACAACAGAAGCCATGACATCGGCCACAACGGAAGCTATCACGTCATCCACAAAAGTCGCCATGACACTCTCCACAACGGAAGCCATCACATCGTCCGCAAGGGAAGCCAGCACATCGTCCACAACGGAAGCCAGCACATCGTCCACATCGAAAGCTAGCACATCATCCACAACGGAAGCCATCACATCCTCCACAACGGAAGTCATGACATCCTCCACAACGGAAGCCATCACATCGTCCACTACGGAAGCCAGCACATCGTCCACAACGGAAACCAACACATCCTCCACAGCGGAAGCCATGACATACTCCACAACAGAAGCCATCCCATCCTCCACAACAGAAGCCATCACATCCTCCACAACGGAAGCCATCACATCATCCACAACGAAAGCCATCACATCGTCCACAACGGAAGCCAGCACATCGTCCACATCGGAAGCTAGCACATCATCCACAACGGAAGCCATCACATCATCCACAACGGAAGTCATGACATCCTCCACAACAGAAGCCATGACATCGGCCACAACGGAAGCTATCACGTCATCCACAACAGTCGCCATGACACTCTCCACAACAGAAGCCATCACATCGTCCGCAAGGGAAGCCAGCACATCGTCCACAACGGAAGCCATCACATCATCCACAACAGTCGCCAGGACACCCTCTACAACGGAAGTCATGAAATCCTTCACAACGGAAGCCATCACATCCTCCACAACGGAAGCTAGAACATCCTCCACAACGGAAGCCATCACATCCTCCACAACAGAAGCCAGGACACCCTCCACAACGGAAGTCATCACATCCTCCACAATGGAAGTCATCACACCGTCCACAACAGAAGCCATCACATCCTCCACAACGGAAGCCAGCACATCCTCCACAACGGAAGCCATGACATCCTTCACAAAAGAAGCCATCACATCCTCCACAACGGAAGCCAACACATCCTCCACAACGGAAGCCATCACATCATCCACAACGGAAGTCATGATATCGTCCACAACGGAAGCCAGCACATCCTCCACAATGGAAGCCAGCACATCCTCAACAACGGAATCCATCACATCATCCACAACGGAATCCATCACATCGTCCACAACGGAAGCCAGCACATCGTCCACAACGGAAGCCAGCACATCGTCCACAACGGAAGCCATCACATCATCCACAACAGTCGCCAGGACACCCTCCACAACGGAAGTCATGACATCCTTCACAACAGAAGCCATCACATCCTCCACAACGGAAGCTAGAACATCCTCCACAACGGAAGCCATCACATCATCCACAACAGAAGCCAGGACACCCTCCACAACGGAAGTCATCACATCCTCCACAATGGAAGTCATCACACCGTCCAAAACAGAAGCCATCACATCCTCCACAACGGAAGCCAGCACATCCTCCACAACGGAAGCCATGACATCCTTCACAAAAGAAGCCATCACATCCTCCACAACGGAAGCCATTACATCCTCCACAACGAAAGCCATGACATCATCCACAACGGAAGTCATGATATCGTCCACAACGGAAGCCAGCACATCCTCCACAATGGAAGCCAGCACATCCTCAACAACGGAATCCATCACATCATCCACAACGGAATCCATCACATCGTCCACAACGGAAGCCAGCACATTGTCCACATCGGAAGCTAGCACATCGTCCACAACGGAAGTCATGACATCCTCCACAACGGAAGCCATGACATCCTCCACAACAGAAGCCATGACATCGACCACAACGGAAGCTATCACGTCATCCACAACAGTCGCCATGACACTCTCCACAACGGAAGCCATCACATCGTCCGCAAGGGAAGCCATCATATCGTCCACAACGGAAGCCATCACATCCTCCAAAACGGGAGCCATCACATCATCCACAACGGAAGCCAGCACATACTCAACAACGGAAGCCAGCACATCGTCCACAACGGAAGCCATCACATCATCCACAATAGTCGCCATGACACCCTCCACAACGGAAGTCATGACATCGTCCACAATGGAAGCCATCACATCCTCCACAACGGAAGCCATCACATCCTCCACAACGGAAGCCATGACATCCTCCACAAAAGAAGCCATCAAATCATCCACAACGGAAGCCATCACATCATCCACAACGGAAGTCATGATATCGTCCACAACAGAAGACAGCACATCCTACACAACGGAAGCCAGCACATCCTCCACAATGGAAGCCAGCACATCCTCGACAACGGAATCCATCACATCATCCACAACGGAATCCATCACATCGTCCACAACGGAAGCCAGCACATCGTCAACATCGGAAGCTAGCACATCGTCCACAACGGAAGCCAGCACATCCTCCACAACGGAAGTCATGACATCCTCCACAACGGAAGCCATGACATCCTCCACAACAGAAGCCATGACATCGACCACAACGGAAGCTATCACGTCATCCACAACAGTCGCCATGACACTCTCCACAACGGAAGCCATCACATCGTCCACAACAGTCGCCATGACACCCTCCACAACGGAAGCCATGACATCCTCCACAAAAGAAGCCATCAAATCATCCACAACGGAAGCCATCACATCATCCACAACAGAAGACATCACATCCTACACAACGGAAGCCAGCACATCCTCCACAATGGAAGCCAGCACATCCTCGACAACGGAATCCATCACATCATCCACAACGGAAGCCATCACATCGTCCACAACAGTCGCCATGACACCCTCCACAACGGAATCCATCACATCATCCACAACGGAAGCCATCACATCCTCCACAACAGTCGCCATGACATCCTCCACAACGCAAGCCATCACATCATCCACAACAGTCGCCATGACACCCTCCACAACGGAATCCATCACATCATCCACAACGGAAGCCATCACATCCTCCACAACAGTCGCCATGACATCCTCCACAACGCAAGCCATCACATCATCCACAACAGTCGCCATGACACCCTCCACAACGGAAGCCATCACATCATCCACAACGGAAGTCATGACATCCTCCACAATTGAAGCCAGCACATCCTCAACAACGGAAGCCATCACATCCTCCACAACGGAAGCCATCACATCATCCACAACGGAAGCCATTACATCATCACTTATGCAAACATCGACAACGACTAAAGCAGCTATGATAGTTTGTGAAAATGGCGGAACGTCAGACGGCGCAACCTGTAGTTGTGTCTCCTCCACTACCGGAACACGCTGTGAAACTCGGATTGAAGGTAATGAGTCTTATCAATATACAAGAACACCATGGTTTAAAACGTCGCCCGGGATCGATTCCCAACATGATTCTAAAGTAAACCACATTCTTGCTGTCCCCACAGTCATATTGCAGGAGTATTGCTAAAATAGTACAAACCCTCACTCACTCCATTTAATGTGTGTATTTCACACAGCCTGACCGTAAATATTCATACTTCTATAAAACAGGCATCCATTTTTTTTAAATTGTATGATTTGCCACCTGTCTCAAAACACAACACTACCCATCCTGCTATGTTGTTATATTGTCACGTGATTTGGGTTTCAGACTGTCAGGACATTGGTCAGTACATATCAACAACCCCCGGCACGTACTCAGTCTGGCCGGACACCTCCGAGGCGCCGTTTGACATAGAGTGCTCGGATTTTGATACCTTTACTACCATGATGATGTTCAGGGACAAAACCATCAGTGGCTGCGAGGCGACACCCGTGACGTACCTCGACGTGCCCTGGGCCGACTACAAGTCTGGGTTCAACAACTCCGACTGCTACATGTGGCTTGGCCTAGAGAAGATACACGCTCTGACCAGTGTCCGATCTTATGACCTTTACGTGTCCTTGAAGAAATTTGATACCACTCCCGGTCAAGTGTCTTACAGCGCCTTCTCTGTCGGTGACGAGGCCTCGGAGTATCAACTGTCGGTCTCAGGGTTCACTGGGGATGGCGTTTTTGGAGACCGCTTCAACCTCGGGGACCCAGCTAGAACCCTGGATGGGAGTCACTTCTGTGCCAAGGACCACTGCAACAATTCAGTCTACCCGTGTGCCGAGTGGCATAGAGGAGCCTGGTGGAGCATGCTGGATGACTGTCAGACGAATCCTCACCACAGATATGAAATTGCCTGGGTTCTTGCTGATAACGTTAGCACTGAAGATTGCAAAAGTATCTACATGGTCATAGTGCCCGTCTAACTCACTGTTCTCTTCCAACGACGGCATAGTGTCGATGTACATGGTTTCCCTGCTTCATGCTTTCCTAGTCACTGCAACACTCTCTATGTCACGAGTATTACTGTATGTTTGAGCATGCTATGACGCCTATGACCAGTGTCCGACCTTATATGCTTTACGTGTCCTTGAAGAGATCTGATTCCGTGAAAGGAAAAGTGTCTCTCAGCGCCTTCTCTGTCGGCGACGAGGCCTCGGAGTATCAGCTGTCGGTGTCAGGGTTCACTGGGGATGGCGTTGTGGGCGATGGTTTCAAAACTCTGAATGGAAGCAAGTTCCAAACTCCCCGTTGATTCTCTTTGTAAATATGTTTATAAAATTTTAGCATTGGCGATCATTCTGATTCCATTAATGTGAAGTTCATATTTCAGTGGATGTATTTTTCACTGGGAATGTCAAATCAATCTATTATTATCCAAACTTGCGTGTTAATAAGCTCACACTCAACTGGAAATGTACACCAGAAACCTGCACATGAAAGAGGATGAAATCACTTTGTCAAGTTGTTATGAAGCAATAATAGACTCAAATATGAACCTTCATCTTAAATTCAGAATTTTCAAGAACCCTTTCACTGTGAAGCGCCAAGGCTGAACTCGTTTGGGATGAAGATCGAGTTGATAGCTCTGGTAGCTCCGTCAGCGCTTTGCGTGAAAGTCAAAGAGAACAATGTGAAGAAATAACACAAAATATTCAACACTTTATTGAACAAGACGTGATATTAAGCCTATAACAAACATAGAAAATCATCTACGCAAAGATCAACCCCGAGATCCATCATTGGGTAATAGTACACCCAGTGGATTCAGAAAGAAAGACAAAACCCTCTTAAAATACGTAAAGGATGAAGAAGACTTATACAATGAGGGGGAAGAGTGAAGTGTTAACAATTAAGTGTATCGCGGTCATATTTCTTCTAAGGCAGAAACATAAATTACACATAATTTAAGATAGAGCAATACCTTATTTACTAGACAATTCAGTTGAAGACAGCTAGTTTGTTAGGCGTTTCCTGGTTCTAGCAAATAACCTTGAACATATGTTAGTGTGTGTGTGTTTTCTTCTTTCTTTACCAGTTTATTAAACATCAGAGGTATCAGAGACTCTAGAGAGAGACTCTGCGTCTCTCTTTACCTTTCAAGTTAATCGGTTCTTTACTGTTTAGTTTGATGCTACCAAATCATCATATATTGACGTTGTCATCTTTAAGTTAGATCAAATCTCCATATTCTTCTGCTTTCAAATATATTTTACTAATTGTCAAGCATTTTGTGTTGGTGAAAGCATGGGTAGATATTAAGATAGACAGACCTGTAAGGATTTCATATTTGTGGAACAAACAGGCTGTTTTGGCGATCGGATAGAAAACATTCGCAAAAAACGTCAGAAAGAACTATTTTGAAAGACCTATGCTTCAATCGAATAATCATGTCAGTCAATATTGTTCGCTTAAATAAAACAGTGAGTTAAATCAGTTGGTGCAGTCACTATACAGTCGCCTGAAGTATATCGGAAATCTATTTAATGAAGATGTAAGGGAATGCTGAGTATGCTGTGGAACAGTCTTACTTATACACGTGAATATCCCATGGACTTGACGTGGCCGTGTGCTCGGGTGTACACGTGGCCAGGTGTCTCAGATTGTAACGTTATGCTCTACCAGGTTAACAGCCATGGGAATGTTAATGTCATGGGATATAGGAATGCACAATCTATTTGTGAGTGTTAAACATGAATGCAAATGTTTGGAAAGTACGAGTGTTACTTCCAGGATGTGTCAGGGCAAACAATGGATGTTAAATGAAGACAAACGGCGTTGTCATGTGTTCACAAGCATGCTCCCAATACCGAAGGAACATGATTCTAAAGTTTATCATGTTTAATACATATTGCATAAATCCAATGGCAAAATAGAACTATTTGCTAAAGTAATTTCCTTTAATGTAGGTAGTGAATACAATAATTAATACAAAAGGAATTTACAAAGCTGATTTGATAAATACAATTATATCATAAAGTATGAAATTAGAAATTCCCGTTTTACATAAATTTATAAAGGCGTTAAAGGCTTCGACGAAGTACCAAAGTTGGTTCCATATGTGGCCACCTGTTACGGAAAGGGGCGACTGATGACGAATGTGCGACTTTGGTGTTCAGCTAGTGCTGGCTGCGGCGCCGACGTCCACACAGCCACCCCGTGCACGGCTCTTTCTTCTCCTTCACCGTCAGCTTCACGTTGAGGCACAGCATCTGTTCCCCCGTCGCTGTGTCCACGGCCGTCGCAGTAGCTTCGTAGTTGCCCTGCAGAGAAGAGGACAAGATGGACGACAAGCAAATTGACAGGACTACAAATTCGATTCAAGTCATTCAAATATACATTGTAAATGCAAGAGAATAAACAGCCAGTCTAGATTATCCACCGAAACAGATTCCATGTGGCGTAAAGGGCACAATAGCTGTGAAAGTTCTATGAATGGACCGCTGAATATCAGTGATGACACCAGGTGTTCGCGACAAGGGTAAGCGTGCCCTGCCTACCACTCACACAATTTGCACATACAAGTATTACTAAGTATCTATCGCCTGATGCTGCACAGGAGTACTCCTGCCATGCGACGGCCGTCTGTCAAGAAACCAAACAGTCAAGTGATCGATGAAAATCCAGTGACATTTACTGACTTTGTTGTGACTAATAAAAAACATTCAAACCCCACTTTTTTGCCGACTAACTCTTGTGTTGCTTGCCAATTTGACTATGTATATGAATCTAGACGTTCAAGGATGCCCTATCTACAAGGTCAGCTTCACACATGGCCGAGACATTATCTCGGCCGAGTCCCTCCACAAGGAAGAGGTGTGATTCCGCCGAGAGGGAAGGCCAGACTGGTTTGTTCGTTGTTTAACACACAGAAGTGTTCCAGTTACATGGCGGTAGTCTGTAAGTAGTCGACGCTAGACCAGACACACCAGTGATGATATACTGAGCAATATGCACGCTGTCGGGTCACGATGACATGCAGTTAACCAGGTCACCAGGCCTGACCACCTAATCCTCTGAATCGCCTCGTACGACAATAGTGGGTTGCTGGGGATTATCTGCTGACCTCGAGGATACCTTGGCAAACTACTGTAACCGTGTTTCATTGAAAAGGGACGTGATTCAGCGAGCCTGATTGATCTGTCCCTAGAAGACAAGTGCCAGACACGGCTTTTTACAAGCAGTATGAAGAAGTCGTGAGGACCCTCAGAAATATAATGTCGCCATTTCTAGACAAGAGGTGACCAGCAACAGAACACTGATACCTACCAACGTGAGTTCTGCTATGACCATCAAGTTACATCGTCAACTCGATATGTCGCTTCAGACGAAGTTGGTGTTAAAAGGTTTCAATGAAGTTCAAATTGGCAATTGACCCCCTAATAAACCAGGGATCTGGGATTTTCACGAGATTACATATGTTTCAGCTACAGCTACAAAACCATTTTTTATTTAAAAACCATGAGGTAGATTTTTACATTTTGGTGGCAGGCAATTTCATTTTTTTCAACCGTCTGAAGATTTATGGGACAATATATTTGTTTCGATACTATCCCAGCCCCCTTCCCCTCCACCTCCTAACAGATGTCCTACATTCTTGGGGTCATTGTGGGGGTCTGTGTAAATCACCAACAGGGAAGGGTTTCAAAGATACTACTTGTGTTTGATGATAGAAAACAATCATCATATAAGGTCCAGAGTGTTCGGGACATCCCGATGGATCAGGGAGGCTTTCAAGATGCAAACACGTTGTGGAAGTCCCAACGCGATACACAAGGGGGACGCAGATTCTCAACTCACTTCCGCGAACCAGGACAATATGGAGGGAACGGCCGGCATCTTCAGTACATAGTCCTGGAGGTCGATGCTCTGGACTACAGCGGGACAATATGTCGTAATTCCCACAGACGCCAGCATCTGCTGGATCTGGAGCCCGATGTCGCCCATGATGCCGGCCCAATTCTCCTTCTGCATCGTCGCTAGGAGTGTGCATGTGTCGTCATAGGTGCTAGAAGGAAGAACACAGAAGGGGGATAGTCATGGGATTTCATCTTTCCTTTACATTTAAATTTCCATTAAGAACAAAATGTCATTGAATTTTTGATAAATGTGATTTTAATTTCATGTAGAGTGAATATTAAAAAAGTATCAATTTTCACTCTAAAGCTCACCTGACTGAAAGTTTTTAACATATATTACGTGGCGGTCTTTCAATTCATTGCATGTCCAGGTTAGCTACAGTGTCGTGGCATTATTTTTTTACATATTTAGATCTATGATTATGTCAAATGTTATATATTTATGTATAATTATATATTTGACTAACATTTGACATAATAATATATCAAATATCAATCTAAATATGTAAAACATAATGCCATATATCTTTAATCGGCATACATGTTAGTCCTGCCCTACAGACTGACATGTTACTCTGTGTATCTTCAGGCTTCCGGTACAACATACGGTAAGTTTGATAGTAATGAAACTGCATAATGCTCAAAGTTTAAGCTTCATTCACTTACACAACCATACATGTACATGTATACATAAGGCTGTGTCATGTCACTGGACTTGGTATCTTGGTATATGAACGTTTTATTTCACGATGTTGAGCAATGCATGAGATTATTACATATTATCATCTTTCTCCATTCCATCATAATTTTACCCGTCCCATATCTTCGATTGACCATTGATGTTACTATCTTCATCTGATAATTAGTAACTTAACACAGACTTTCTCTCACACGAGTGTTATTTTATTGGACAGTGTGTTCAAGAGTCATGCCATTCTAATTCTAATGGCTCAATGGGATTTAATCCAATAGAATGGAGATTTAACGCATTAAATAATCGAGGATGATTACCTTACGACAGTTTGTTGTTAAACGCCACACTCAGCAATATTCCAGCTGTATGACGGTGGTCTATAAAAGATCGAATCTGGACCGGACAGTCCAGTGATTGACATCATGAGCATCGCTCTACGCAATTTGGATTCGATGACATGCAACAACCAAGTCAGTGAGTCTGACCACCCGATCCCGTTAGTCGCCTTTTACGACAAGCAGTCACCTTTTACGGCAAGCATGGGTTTCTGAAGACCAATTCTAAATTCACGGATCACACTCTGACGTATGAACAGGATGCTAGATGTGGGCCGATGTTCCTCACCATGATCCGACGTGGAAGAGGCAGGGAATGGGGATGTTGAGGAGGAAAGTATCCCTCTTCACGTGCACCGACAACTTCATCTGGTTCAGCTGCTTCCTCGTCGACGACGCGTTGATGGTGAGGTGCAAGTCGCCGGGGACAACGACAGGCATTGGGGAGATGTCGATTTTGTGGATGGTGAGGCCGGAATCAGATCCTGGAGTCAAGAGTAGGGCGACACTTATCGTATTCATTGTAAGGAAGAGTGTTTGGAGGAGCATATCGGTGACCTGTACTTGCCCCTTGCTAATGGCAATGTATCGATACGGGATGACAAGTTAAAATATCAATAGTTAATGCCGCTATCGTTATATTTAGTTTCGGTAGACATGGTAAAGTCCATACATGGGTAGATTAACTAACTTGACCACTTTATAAATATACTTTGTTCTAAGATATGCCTATATCGAAGCAGAACAGGTTATAACTTTCTATCAATATCACTGTATCATCCTCTATCTCTGTTGGAATTTGATAATATGGACCAATGAATACTGTCCTTCAAATATCGGCCAACCGTTGTGTAGAACTTTGACGGATGTCTCGAAGTAAAAACTTGGTCCCTGCGTATTCCTTCTTTATTCATTATTATTTAACCTCCGATGTGTCGAATCGGATGTGTCGAAATTTAGTTCCCAGTCCCAAACATATACTTTCAGCACAAATTTACTCTGAAGATTTCAGAACCATTGTCACTAAATCTACAGATGGTACCTTTGTAGATAGGGCATTAACATCTCAAGATAACATGACCAGATAAGCCACGTTGCTCAAGTTCAACGTTTATTTCGCTGAGATCAAACATCAGCTAATTCCTTAACGCCTAAAATACTGTCATGGTAATTATGAAATACACATACCACAGTCAGACCATTCCAGCTTTGTGAGATCAGCTGCAGCACAGACCCCGAGCCATAACAACAAACACAGGAGACCCGCCATTGCTGATCGTAACATGTGCACTGCTTGTGTGGAACAGTTGTGTCAGACGAACATAATTATCTTATCTTTACAGCTGCTCTGGATACATTATGCTTCACCTCGCCACTTAGTCTAGTACATAGGCCCGGAATAAGGATTAGAAGAATATAGCGAAGGTGAGAGATGGGTCATGACGCCCGACCTGTCGGTATAATCGTGACTGAGGACATCTTAAGTAAGCCCCTGAGCTCTCGTTCCTTCGTGCAGCCCTCCCTCTAGGTTTCACGACGTCCCGTGCTATATTGTGTTGCAAGCATCCTTTCTGTATTAAATATGAAGCGGGGATCATGCAGGGTGTCGTTGTACAAAGCGATCTTAGCGCAAATGTGATCTCCCATACCTTCACACACACTTACTACGACAGTCGTAGTGCTAAGGTTTTTTGCACAACGGCATATATTGATATATTTCTATCCAGTTTTTCAAGAAAATGTCTTCCCCGGGCAAGGCAGTAGTGTCCTTGTGGGATCATGAACCATGTGTGTTACCATACATAAATAACAAATACATAATGTCCACTAACAATTTATTACTTGAATTTAAAATATGCCTTTAGTTTTACAACTTTCTTGTAAAGCAAATATGCATTCAGCGGCCTATCAATAATCGAGTCTGGACCAGCCCACCCAGTGATCGATATGATGAGCAACGACCCACGCAGTCGAGGTACGATGACACGCAGTCGAGGTACGATGACACGCAGTCGAGGTACGATGACACGCAGTCGAGGTACGATGACACGCAGTCGAGGTACGATGACACGCAGTCGAGGTACGATGACACGCAGTCGACGGAAGGGGTCCGGGCCTGTTTGCACAAAGTATTTTTAGCACCACAGTTATTACATTCCTAAGTTCGCGATCGTAGGATTTAGCTACAACCGATATGCAAAGATCATTGAACGATACAATCGAAATTTACAATAATTACTTGTTCGGACCAATATTATAGAAGCTATAAAAGCGCATCATTGACTTCACATCGGAAATGCGATCCAGGTAACTACCTCACTCTTAGACAGCTGAATTCATTTGAAGAGCGGCGTGAAGTGAAATACAACAATTCATTGAAATAGTTCTCTAATCATTAATGGAAGTCATTGAAATAGAGTTCTCTCTTCATCAATGGAAGTCATTGAAATAGAGTTCTCTTCTCATTAATGGAAGTCATTGACATAGAGTTCTCTTCTCATTAATGGAAGTCATTGACATAGAGTTCTCTTCTCATTAATGGAAGTCATTGAAATAGAGTTCTCTTCTCATTAATGGAAGTAATTGACATAGAGTTCTCTTCTCATTATTGGAAGTAACTGAAATAGAGTTCTCTCTTCATCAATGGAAGTCATTGAAATAGAGTTCTCTCCTCATTATTGGAAGTCATTGAAATAGAGTTCTCTCCACATTAATGGAAGTCATTGAAATAGAGTTCTCTTCTCATTAATGGAAGTCATTGAAATAGAGTTCTCTCCACATTAATGGAAGTTCTGTTGAATAATTTTTAAGTTCCTTTAGTTTTTAGATGCTTCTGTATAAAACTATATGAATTTAATAATTTGAATTATACCGAAAAACTGAACACCTTTTTAGAAATGATGTGTGGTTGTTTCAACAAGTCCTAAAATACATTATATCTTAGAAAAATATCGTCCATTCGTCTTAAAACCTTTCAAATCAAGTACAGAATTTCCACAAAATGTTCAGATATTTCACTATCTGATATGCATTTATTAATGTTATTAAATTAACAAAAATAGAAACATGATGGTATCTATATATCCCAAAAAGATAAAGAAAACTGGTTATTTCACTGGATTAATGCAGTTCAATCTGGCATCAGATGTCAATGGCAGAGTGCGCAACATTGTTGATCCCTGGTCGGCAAAACGAGAGTGTTCGTTTTTACAACATAAACACTAAGGTGCATAGCGCATGTCCTATTGAAAACAATTATCTACAAGTTATTAAAACATTTAGTTTTTCACTTAAATCCAACCCATGTAGATCCGGATTAGAATACATCTTCAGCATCCCATGCTTCTCGTAGGAGGCGACAAACTCGCTGACTTGGTTGATGCATGTCATCGTATCCAAGATTGCGTGGATCGATGTCCACCACTGGACAGTCTTTATATTCCTTTAACATTGGTGATGGAGATGGAGTTATGACGCTACAACCCCATTGGTAACTGGTGGACTGGGACACCATTAGGGACGACAGAAGGAATGACTCAACACGGTCTTTCATAGTAACAGCGAGGAAGAAGTAAATGGTCATTAATTTGAAGAGCGTCGTGAAGTACAACAGTTCATTGAAATTGCTCACGTCTGTCAGCGTGGGTGAAAATTGAACCTCTAATAACTTGGATTTGTGAAGAAGTGTTGTTTGGCTGTCTCTCTTCCTCAACTGAAATATATCTGTATGATTGGTGGATAAGTGTTATAAGCTCACTCATTGATCGTGAGCAGAAAGGTTTCCTGCCGAACTCCAAGCGGAAGGCGAAGGGTACTCCCAGCACAATGGAAACAGATTGGTACACATTTGAAATAATATGGGAGGCGTCGGTCCCTTTTACGTAGTAGGCAAACTACCGTTTCTGGAGCACCCTCCTCAACAAAATATGACCAACGGGAATAGCCACCATGTAGGATGATGTCGTCATTGGGGAATTCCCAATTCTGAAAATTGTCTCCATACATAACGCATCAAATTCTGCTAGCCGATTTTGAATATCTTTTATAGCGACGGACCTATTGGATTTTGATTTTGATCATTTTTTTCACCGAACTAATACTTTAAAGATCATATCTTGTAAGGTTCTCCACAGAAATTATTGAAAATTTGCATGAAGTTAGTGTGCCATATGCATCTTATTGTTTGTTCTTGGTTGCATGCTGAAAGTAACACCGCTTGGTGGTAATATTTGATTAATATTTGGGACACCCCTGGAACACGCCAATATAGTAGTGACGATTTCCGGTGACTATTTTTTGACGGAGTTGGTACAAGCAAACCCTTTGGGGATTCGAACATGTTCGAGGTCAGAAATGGGGTAAGATCAGATTAGGACACACCGGCACAAGACAATTTCGTAACCGCGATACCCTTCAAGTGGTGTCTACAGTTGACAGATTTGGTACAAGGGATCCCTTTGAGGATTCGAACATGGACGTTTGTGCGCAGTCTTACTTGGAGCCCGTCATTGCTGCTTTAATTTTAAATATGTTTAGTAAAGGCTGCATCTAAATAAACAAGATATTGGAATATATTATTCCTGATAAAAAAAATAGTTTCAGATACAACTTTTGCCGATCCTTTCATTAAAAATCCTGTAAAGTTATATCATTGGGTGTGTCTTGACCGAATCACCGGTCGATTCCAAGAAAACGTGTGTATAGCTGATTGCTGTTTCCGGCTTAGTTTACGAGAAAATACACAAGGTAATCTTAATCCCTGGATATAAAACAATGCCTAGCAGAACAATAAATACTATCTAAACGGTAAATCAACATGTCTGGTGATTTTTTTATCTCAAATTCACCCGTTCGTTTGCCGGACTTCGTTGAAGGGGTACGGTGTAATTTTTTTCAGCGCTTGGTATTCGAATTATTTTTTCCCCAAAATACTGAACCCGCTAGAGGGGGGTGTGCATTATACATGGGTGCGCACTATACTCAAGAAAATACGGTATCTGTATGAGAAGCAAGTTCAGCAGGGGCTTCTACAGGTGTCTAATTGCAATAGATTCTTGAGCGGTTGCATCTGCTGCTGCGCCTAAGCCTGCGTCGGCTGCTGCGTCTGCATCTGCATCATTTGTACCTTGGGGTCTTCTTCTGAATGTTTTATGCGGATATGTCGTGCCAACTTCTAGCAGATATCGCTTGTTATCAAAGGGTGACAGCCCTGACTTAAGCTGGATGTTGTAGATCTGTTGGTCATAGCTTCTAATTTGAGACATCTTGGTCATGTGGATTTGTCTATCAAGCACATTGTTTGTGTGTGTGTGTGTGCGTGTGTGCGTGTGTGTGCGTGCGTGCGTGCGTGCTCGATCATGTTCTTCTTGACGCCCTTAGCCGTTTTCTTCTCTACCACTGTCCCATGCTCTTCGTAGACGAGAGTACATCTTGTACTTCAACCCGATAGATTCTTGTATGGATGTTCAGTGGGATTGTCAGATGTGTCGTTCATCACACCTTCATAAATGTTCTTGGTCTGAATAGAGTACCATAGAGGGCCTGTGTCTGTGAATACGAGCTTGGCTTTTGATCCATGTTTGTTTGTTGTTTAACACCGCCTTTGCAATATTCAGCAATATGACGGTGGTCGAAATTCTGACCATTATCAACTGATGGCCAGACACCCCTTCCACGCACTGATACTCTTCAACAAATATCTAATGGCTTATCTGAAACAAACATTTTTTAACAATTTTGTTTCCAAAACTTTCCATGGACCTTAGCAAAGGGACGAAAAAAATCTGCTGGCGAACGTGTACTTGAAAAAGAGATTCTTGAAAGCATTGTTTATCAGCGCCTTTGATAAACTCACTAGGCAACAGATAAGAAAGTTACAGTTTCGTTCTCAGAAATATAAGTAAATTTGTCGTTTGATTTTACATCATTTGGCACATTTCCATAAATTATAATTGTATTGTGTGTTATTGGGGTTGATTTCAAATTGCAAATAAATCTCTGGGACAGAGGGATATTCTGAAGGAAGTCCCTGCTCAGAGGTTAAGACAGCTCACACCGGACATGTCCCCAAGCCCCCACCGGTTCATAATAAAGACAAAACACAGATGCTGTAATAACACTGCCTTTATTACAGTGCTGTAGTCAAGGTAACCAACAATATACATGTATGTGTGGAACTCTCAAGGAACACTTCTGTCCTTGCAGTGTAACTAGTGACGCATCAAGGCTAGGCTAACATCTTGCCTGGATCACAATAATCTACAAACCAGCCTCAAACTTTTGACAGCCCTAAACCCAGGCAAAGAAGTCTCATGGTGAAATGTGTAGAAACAGAAACAAAGACTTTCTACCCTTTGTAACAACAAGTTGGGTTAGATAGTGGACATTTGTGGTCAAAAAGACAAATCAGTTTTGCAGAAACATTCTGGTTTGTTAAATTGTCATGTTGCTCCAACATGGTGCGACCCTCTTTTTTCCACAGAATCAGTCCTAGGATTAAACCTATGACATGGTGTGCATCGATGGGCCTAGTTTGTACTTGATGTCCACTGTGCCCACCTACAGATCCCTGTACTGGAGAACTGTAATGAGCCCCCCAGGGCCTTGTGTTCCCCATCACATAATGCTACATGAACAACTCTATATGGACAGTTGACCTGAAACACTTCCTCAAAGTGTTCCACCTTGCTTAGCTAAAAACAATATCCTGATACAAACTATAACACATTTCCTTTATACTCATTGTAAAACATCAACACAAACTGTCTGAACAGTGCTGAAATGTATTCATGCCAAAAAAATATGGAGACCAGTAGACAAGAAAATATTCTCCAGTACAAAGAAGCTGGTTATGCTAGACCCAGCGTCCCTCACTGTTGAGAACACTTATATATATTCGAAGGAACATCACTAAATACCCATGAATTATCAATCTGGAATTTGTGAATCAGCACCATGTGACTGGGAACAGTATTTTACAGCTCATTTCTCTGGCTGGCAATATTGTGATTTGTAGCAATGTGAGACATCTGGCATGACAACATACACCTTCCTGGTGGTCTGTGAAACAGTCCTTGGTAGCAAAATGGACTTGATTACATAATTGTTTTGTTTGTTTCCAGTTATTCCCACTGAGGATGGACTACGTAAAATGGCAAGAGTTGAGTTTTCAAGACTCCTTTGGAGGATATTGTGACTCACCACTGGGATATGTTACATCCATTACTGGGTTACAACAAACCAACAAAAGTCCCCAATACCAGCAAGTTAACAGATCAGGCCTATATCAAGATTAATATCAGGGTAATGAAGAGGGCACAACTATCTTTTGACCTGGTCAGATTTGGCACAAGATACAGGTTTGATATGTATTGATTTCCTATGATTCCTACATGTAACGTGGGAACATATTAGCCACAGATATTTAACAAGTTACCTGGTGTACACCGTCAACGTACAGGACACCTTTGAAACAATGGTGGCGTCATGCATGTAATAGCCACCCATGGTTTACTCACATAGCATGATGCCCTTGTTACACTCCACTGTAGATTCCATCTTTACAATACAACATGGTGGACGATGTGAGAGCAAGTTTCATGCCTGGACTAAAATTCAAGTGGTGTTTGGTAGATATTACCCAAAGTGTATCATCTCTACAATACCTTAAAAACTGAATTACGGTATGTTACAACTGAAACCTTTGATCATTTGTCATTGTCTTCAGTGAGAAGATGGTAGACTGCTCATTTCATAAATTCAATCTCTATTTGTTTCGACAAGTGGAGAGAAAGGCATTTTAGACACAAAAAAATAAATAATTCTAAAATTAACAATTCTTGGCATTAAATATGGGAGACTACAATAAATTCACTTTCACTGAAACATCCCTTATATGGTTTAAAAACATCAGAACCAAGGTCAATCTCAAAATTATGAATAAATATATGACAAATATGTCGTTTCCTTAAGTAACATTCATCACAAACAATATTTCTAAATGGTTATCTTCAACTGATGGTAAAACAGGTACCATGCATTCACTATTGGAATTACATCTCACTTATGTCCAACACGGAATATGGAGGAACACAGATTCTACAATGCTCCCCCGATATGACTTCTGCTAGCCTTCAGTGTTTGGCATCATGCACTGAACTAATATTGGCAATGGAATCATCAACCCCAGTCTACCGTGATGACCCATTCAAGTATCAGACAAAATAGCCTTCAAACTTATTTTTCATACATTCACCCGCTTTTTAAAAAGACGTACAAGGTTTAAAAATGTTGGTTTGAATTAGTTCCCCACCAGCCTCTCCTATCAGTTTCAGCAGTCACAGGAAGCCAACAATTATTCTTGGGCTTAACAAATGTGAAGATTACGGAGACAAGTCAAGTACTGGTATGACATCACCTTACACCGATGCATTAATCTCATAGCTATGCATGAACAAAATAAGTGTGGTCACATAGCAGTAAAACAATAACAAATAAACAGTGAAATATCAAAAGGAACAAAATACAGCAACAAACAGTATACAGATGTGAGGGGCTCCAGGCCATGATACACACACTTGCGGCAACTAAGGACGTAAGCGGCATAAATCAACTTATGATCACTGGTCTTGAAGGTCATAGAATTCTCCGAATTGTTTTGTAAGGCCAATCACATTTATTGGTAACAACACAAATGACCCTGCAATCCCAAACATCCTGTCTCACCAGTCTAGTGATTATGACTTCTTGCCTAGACTGGTAACAGTGCTGAAATCCACTTTTACAAGGATGTACATGTGTAATGGCAATACCTATTTGTAAACACCTGGCTGAAAATGAGCTCTTTAACATATAAAATCTTTCCATTGTCCAGTGTCATCTCTGATTTGGAATGTGGACAGAAGAGTCCTCTGTGAACAATGTATTGGCCTTCAAGACCACAACCTATATGTCCACTTGCATATGTCAGTAACAACATAAAAGAGAATAGCGACAAGAAGCAGGCTACTCCATGGCAACCCTGGGCTGCGTGTTACTTGTATGTCAAAAGATTGTGACTGACATGTATAAGAGTCTATTGTCACCTATCACGTGGTACCAGGAACATTGTGCAGCTTACAAAATAATGAAAGTGTTTATCAACGATCCATTTCTATCCCTAACATATTGTGTATGTTAAAAGTTTTTTATATTGATACAAATTAGGGCTGGGACGGGTAGCTCGGGTACTCGGGTCGGGTAGGTCCTGTGTAGTACCCGGTTACCCACAGGACTACCCGGACCCGTGGTTAGTCAGGTGATATATTGTTTAATGACAAAAACTCACTATAGCTCAGTGGTTAGTCTACAAGTCGCTAATGTTCGCATTTCTTTCTGACGATGCACACATTCCTTTTGACTTGTATATGTTTGAGTAAAGATAAAGCTTTAGTCAACTTCAGTGAACACATGATCTGATTGTTTGATACATGTATCTAAATAGTTTTATCCTGTTGGTGCGGTAAAACAACTACTAATCAGACATTTTGTTCCCAACTCATAAGACTTGCAGTGGGTATCCGGGTAGGGTTGGGTAATAGGGTGTCGGCTACCTGGGTAGTAAATTTGGACTCGTCCCAGCCCTAATACAAATATTTTTCCAAAATTCCTTTAAGTGTGTCATAAAGAATTCAACTAAAGTCATACAATGTCACAACATGTCCTAACTGCAGTGGACATGTAGAGTTACATGCCCTTGCCATGTACTAAAATCCGGAACCAAAACCTTATGTACAGTGTTGTAAATCATACCAATGGAAATAAGAACAACAGACTGGGTTTCATCAACCTGACAGATTCTCAATAAAACTCTGTCTTTCTTGGTCCAAACTTTCGCCCACTTCAAGCTTGTCCGTTTATATGGAAGAGCTAATAACGACAAAAATCACAAAATTTGAAAACCGAACTGAATTCAGAGACCAACAAATTCTATATAACCATGATAACACTGTGAATTGCACTGATTTCTGTACACATCCTCTGAGCACTGTCCAGTCTTGGTTCTGGTGTAACAACTAGTGCACCGGTGACCTGTGACAGATCTACACAACAGACAAGTAACAATTCCCTGCCTACATTGGTGGCAGACAACCCTGCCAAGCAGTTTTAGTCTTTAATTTCCCAAACAAGAGATGGCCTCGAGATCAAGTATTCTTGACTTGAAACATCTCCAAGGCTGACAAATCCTTAGAACAGCTAAAAACCTTGAAAACAAGTTTAAAAAAATAATAAGAATTGGTTCTCAGGCAATGGCTTTTAAAAATCTAATTATTTTAAGAGACAAATACACGTTATCTTAATCTCTGAAAATAAAACATTGTCTGCCATACAGTACATATGCTTTCCTTCACCAAATTTGCAAACGGCAAAACAAGCACACAAACTCTTATTGCCGCCACGACCATAAAACGAGGTGTGCAGTAAGCAGTGCGCATGTAGAGGGATGTCACTGCACTCTTTATTTGATTGGATTGTTTTAATGTATTGTAGCATTGCACTGCCGGGGTGCAATGTTCCGAGATGCTGTATAATTTAGGATTTAATTTTTTGGAAAAAGGAAATAAAAACGAAATGTGTGGCAGACTTAATAATGATGCAGGCGGTGCCTGAGAACCAAGACTATTATTTTCCTTTTAGCCCAAAGTAGATCTTTTATGTTTCCAATACCTGCAGACCTAGTGGTATGTTAGAAGTGTACTTGATGTGTACTTGATATGTACAAAAGTGTTTCAGCTTCCAAGATAATTGTCTGAAATCTCCAGTGTGTAGTTCCTGGTTGTTGAAGGAAAATTTCATAAAACATGTTTGAAGCTTCATCTTAAAGCAAGGAATTCATTGGCTAATACTAACCAACAACCTGAGGACTTGATTACACCGAGCTCAACTAGTTGTGTCAGTCCTTCCTCAAACAACACCCAAAACAATCACTCTGATCTTCAAGTAAGTAAAAAGCTCTTCTAAAGATGACTTAATGTCAGTGACAAACATTTTTCTACGTAGCAGACAAGGTTATTTTCTAAGAATCTGTGAAGAGATTCTACAAAAGTACCCCAGGTTAAATCTCCCGTCAAGCAGGGAGGTGTTGTGTGGCAGTCACATTACAAGTACACCAAGTGAACACTGAATCCAACCTTATTAACCAATGCTTCACCCAAGGTCTGTCACGGAGGCCATACAGAAAGTGTTCAAGCACTACCAGTCCAATTTCATGACAGCATATTTCCTTTTCAGGCAGTCACAACATAGGTATCCAACCAGTGGTCAGAAGCAGCACAACATCCTCTGTCAGATGAATTACTGGATATACATTGCTGTGGGTCTCTTACTGTGTAATCAAACCTACATCACAGCTCATTTCATTTAAAACATAAATGTACAATCTGAACATCACTCCTAATCTGCAATGTAACATGATATAGATGCCCACATTGTCGGCCAATAACATTACCTGGTCATACACAAATGATGAAGAAGTTGCAATGTCTTGTTTGGACAATGTTGTCTAAGTTTAACAATAACACATTTAATTGAGATGAAAATTCAAACCTTTTACTTTGCAAAATTGATTGCAGAATCTTAGCAATATATCTAATATAGAGAACTGGACAGAATCTGTCACAATTTCTTGGCAAAATATGCTTGGAATATGTTACATATGAGGTAATAACCGGCACACACCCAGATGACATTTCACCAAATCATGCAGTAATAAGGTTGAATACAGTTGTAATACTTTCAAGACAATGCAAGGATACATTCTCTATGCATCTTTCGCAATCAGCAGCTTCCATTTCATGAATTGAAAATATCACTTGATCATTACATCTATGAGTTCATCAGATACCATACTTCCAGACTTCAATTAGAGGTTAAGCATTTCCATATTGCCAGATGTATGCTGGTACAAAGACATCTATCCATGAATTTTTAAAATAACCTGATTGTCTGCTGTCAAAGAATGACCATACTCTTGTGATATCATGGTCAAACATATTTCTACTATTACATATTAAGGAAGGAACTTTTTATTTGAGTTTAATTCCTCAAAAGAAACATGTTTGAAATAAAAGTTACAAAACACACAAACAAAATTATGCTTATAGAGATCCTATTTCAACCAACCGAAGCATTCAAATTTTTTCATTAACTTTTGTTAGGGTAGGTTAAAAAACACTACAAGATAATCAGTCTGATGATCTCACTGAGAAAAAAAATAACCCACCCATTTTGTTATGATCTTAGAATAATGAAAACCAAATTGAAACATTCAAATTATTCAATGCAAATATTCCAGCATGATAACAACTGCCTTATTTCGACAGTTACTCCAAATCTGCAAAGCTATTGTTTAATAATTGCAGCCTTGACATGATTAAGTTGGTTGGAAAGACAATCACTTCAACCCCTCTGGCTCCAGGCAATGTCGGACTGAGCTGATACCCGAACCAACCAGTACCCGGACCGCCTCCTTGCTGTGCGGCCCTGCTGTAACCTCGATATCACAGTTGGCTACTGTCTCCCCTGATGCTTGCCAAGGTTAACTTGCTGCATCGTTGATGGTAAGCTGGGCAAAGCCGATCAGAGCCTTGTCACACGGAGCCTCGTTCTGACCACAACCAGAGTTCTGAAAGGGAGAGTTGTGATTTCAATCCAAAGTCAAAGATATTACTCATTCTTGTTGTTCACGCTGCAAATAGAAATACTCCAGCTAGGTCATCCAAGCCTGGCTCACCAGTGCTCACAGCAATCCCCTGTGCAGGCCCTTTAAGTATACGCTACCAGTATTGAGATCACTCAATGTCCCTTTAAGTATAAGCTACCAGTATTGAGATCCCTCAATGTCCCTTTTACAAGAAGACCAGCATCACCCCCATGTAGTAGAGAAACCCGGACCACCATCACCTCCCTGTAGTAGAGAACCCGGGACCACCATCATCTCCCTGTAGTAGGGAAGCTGGGGCCACCATCACCCCCATGTAGTAGGGAAGCTGGGGCCACCATCACCCCCATGTAGTAGAGAAACCCGGACCACCCTTTCCCCATGTAGTAGAGAAACCTGGACCACCATCACCCCCATGTAGTAGAGAAACCCGGACCACCCTTTCCCCATGTAGTAGAGAAACCCGGACCACCATCACCCCCATGTAGTAGAGAAGCCAGGACCACCATCACCCCCCTGTAGTAGAGAAACCCGGACCACCATCACCCCCATGTAGTAGAGAAACCCGGACCACCATCACCCCCATGTAGTAGAGAAACCGAGACCACCATCACCCCCATGTAGTAGAGAAACCGAGACCACCATCACCCCCCTGTAGTAGAGAAACCAGGACCAGCAGGACCAGCATCACCCCCATGTAGTAGAGAAGCCAGGACCACCATCACCCCCCTGTAGTAGAGAAACCCGGACCACCATCACCCCCCTGTAGTAGAGAAACCCGGACCACCATCACCCCCCTGTAGTAGAGAAACCCGGACCACCATCACCCCCATGTAGTAGAGAAACCGAGACCACCATCACCCCCATGTAGTAGAGAAACCGAGACCACCATCACCCCCCTGTAGTAGAGAAACCAGGACCAGCATCACCCCCATGTAGTAGAGAAGCCGAGACCAGCATCACCCCCATGTAGTAGAGAAACCCGGACCACCCTTTCCCCATGTAGTAGAGAAACCCGGACCACCATCACCCCCATGTAGTAGAGAAGCCGGGACCACCATCACCCCCATGTAGTAGAGAAACCGGGACCACCATCACCCCCATGTAGTAGAGAAACCGGGACCACCATCACCCCCATGTAGTAGAGAAACCGGGACCACCCTTTCCCGATGTAGTAGCCAAACCCGGACCACCCTTTCCCCATGTAGTAGGGAAGCTTGGGCCACCATCACCCCAAGTGCCGAACTGGGAGAAGCCCGGGGACCAACTGGCACTACTCACCAATGCAAACGTCAAGTTCTTCTGATCCTTGTTGTCCAAGATCTTCTGAAGATTTGCTGCCACTGAAACAGTCAGTCAACACTTAGTCCTACTGACTGGCCTTGCCCAGTACCATGAGTACATGTGAAGGAGTTATGACAGTCATTGCTAAAATCATTTTGTCTTTCTTAGCATATAATAATTCACAGATTTTGTTTCCCCAAGAAATGTCTGACATAAACACACATCTGACATTGTCCATATTTAGCCATTCTTTTCCAAATGGCTACTCAAAGTGGACTAAACAATGTCATATCTGGGCAAGGTAATCCAGTAGTGTTGGAGCACGAGACACAGTGTCAGCCTGGTTACACAGTGTCAGCCAGGTTACACAGTGTCAGCCAGGTTACATAATGTCTGGTTACCCAGTGTCAGCCAAGTTACACAGTGTCAGCCAGGTTACACAGTGTCAGCCAGGTTACATAATGTCTGGTTACCCAGTGTCAGCCAAGTTACACAGTGTCAGCCAGGTTACACAGTGTCAGCCAGGTTACATAATGTCTGGTTACCCAGTGTCAGCCACGTTACACAGTGTCAGCCAGGTTACACAGTGTCAGCCAGGTTACACAGTGTCAGCCAGGTTACACAGTGTCAGCCAGGTTACACAGTGTCAGCCTGGTTAAACAGTGTCAGCCAGGTTACACAGTGTCAGCCACGCTACACAATGTCAGCCAGGTTACAGAGTGTCAGCCAGGTTACACAAGGTCAGCCACGCTACACAGTGTCAGCCACGCTACACAGTGTCAGCCAGGTTACACAGTGTCAGCCAGGTTACACAAGGTCAGCCAGGTTACACAGTGTCAGCCTGGTTAAACAGTGTCAGCCAGGTTACACAGTGTCAGCCACGCTACACAATGTCAGCCAGGTTACAGAGTGTCAGCCAGGTTACACAGTGTCAGCCACGTTACACAGTGTCAGCCTGGTTAAACAGTGTCAGCCACGTTACACAGTGTCAGCCAGGTTACACAGTGTCAGCCTGGTTACACAGTGTCAGCCTGGTTACACAGTGTCAGCCACGTTACACAGTGTCAGCCTGGTTTAACAGTGTCAGCCACGTTACCCAGTGTCAGCCAAGTTACCCAGTGTCAGCCAGGTTACACAGTGTCAGCCTGGTTACACAGTGTCAGCCTGGTTACACAGTGTCAGCCATGTTACACAGTGTCAGCCAGGTTACACAATGTCAGCCAGGTAACACAGTGTCAGCAACGTTACCCAGTGTCAGCCTGGTTAAACAGTGTCAGCCAGGTTACACAGTGTCAGCCTGGTTACACAGTGTCAGCCACGTTACCCAGTGTCAGCCTGGTTACACAGTGTCAGCCTGGTTACATAATGTCTGGTTAACGTCTGGCTGGGACCTGTCTGACCAGTCAGTGATCCTGGCTGGGACCTGTCTGACCAGTCAGTGATCCTGGCTGGGACCTGTCTGACCACTCAGTAATCCTGGCTTGGACCTGTCTGACCACTCAGTGATCCTGGCTGGGACCTGTCTGACCACTCAGTGATCCTGGCTGGGACCTGTCTGACCACTCAGTGATCCTGGCTGGGACCTGTCTAACCCCTCAGTGATCCTGGCTGGGACCTGTCTGACCACTCACTAACATGCTGTAGACACTCACCCACTATCATGTCCTTGCCATTCACAAGTCCTGCCTCAACCAGTTCCCTTGAAACACTGTCTGAGGTGTCTGTAAACCAAAAGTTTTACAACTGAGCATGTACATGAAGTTGCAGAAATGGGGCAACTTGTCCTCATCTGTAGTCAAGATAAGGGAAATACAGGTATCTGCAAAAGAATGTCAAGGAACCTTGACATGGAAACATTCTTTTACCCTCTGCACGCATGTAGAAACTGGGGTTAGTGCTAAACAATGAGCACATATTTGGTTGAACCTGCTACATGGCATCTGGCATAATTACTATGCAAAATATTCAAATCATAATCCATGAACATAACATGAAAAGTGTTCTACTATAAATTTGGAAAATACTCTTTTCGGTCAATCAGGGGTTTTAAATCATGATATTGCATATCACTCTTATTGCAAAAGCTGAAGGTAATATTTATATCCACAAACTAACACTAATGTATGGCCTGTGTGAGGCTGTGAACCTACCTTGGCCTGGGGTGAAGTCAAACTTGATGTCATTCAGCTCCTTCTTGTCATTCCTGGTGGAGAAGGAGGAATCAAACATTGGTCAATCTGGACAACAATACTGTTACAAAGTCTTTGGTCAGTGTGGTCAACAATACTGTTACAAAGTCTTTGGTCAGTGTGGTCAACAATACTGTTACAAAGTCTTTGGTCAGTCTGGACAACAATACTGTTACAAAGTCTTTGGTCAGTGTGGTCAACAATACTGTTACAAAGTCTTTGGTCAGTGTGGTCAACAATACTGTTACAAAGTCTTTGGTCAGTCTGGACAACAATACTGTTACAAAGTCTTTGGTCAGTGTGGTCAACTATACTGTTACAAAGTCTTTGGTCAGTGTGGTCAACAATACTGTTTCAAAATCTTTGGTCAGTATGGACAACAATACTGTTACAAAGTCTTTGGTCAGTGTGGTCAACAATACTGTTACAAAATCTTTGGTCAGTGTGGTCAACAATACTGTTACAAAGTGTTTAGTCAGTCTGGACAACAATACTGTTACAAAGTCTTTGGTATGTGAGACGTGATGGTTAACACCGCTTTGAACAGTATGTCAAACTATGCAGATCCAAGATGTTTAGCCCTTTGTTGGAAGCCACAAGAAACAAATCCCATGCCGCCCCAGCCCATGATGATGATCTGGAGAAGCTTCTCACATGCTCAAAGTATCACTAAAGGAAAGTAGTGAGAAGGCTGAGGTGGCAGAGGATGTAACATATTTCAGATGGACTTCTTGGAATTTGAAAGATTGTCGTGAATCAAACCCATAAATTGAGAAATAGGCTGAAATATTTTCACCAGATGATGGAGTAAGTATATACTTCAAAACATGTTCCTCATAATAAAGAAGTTGACATCCATAAATTACTTTCCTAAGGCTGAATCATATTCACATTTCAACAAGACCATATTCAGTCAATTATTGAATGTCTTCTGTACTTATTCATGCGAATCTATCTCTCAGATTAGAGCAATTTTCATACAAGTGAACACCAAGTAGCGACTGTCAGCTGAAGAAAGTGAACACTTCAGCTACTGCTCAAGTCAGATTACGGACAATGCAGGATACAATGTGTGAAGTCCATTCCCTGCCAAAACTAAAAGCGGCTCCAGACCTTGATGGCACAAAGGATTGGTTGAAGCTTGTAATGAGATGACAAAATGATTCCCTACCTAAGCCGCAGAACAAGGTTGATAGATTGAGACAGGACAGCTTGCTGGAACAAAAAACACTTGTGTTGATGGATGCAATGCATGACCATGATTACAAAAGGCTTCTGCTTTTCAGATAATCAAGCTGCATTCTTGTTCAGTGTGAACACATTTGTCTTGGGACCATTTCATATCGTTAACAGCCCAGGGAGCATTACAGAATCCTACAGCAGAACTCTGACGCCAAGCAGTGCCCATTATGTGCATGGTGCTGCTACCCACCTTCTGCTCTTGGGCCTCTGCCTGACTGGGCAGCGAGGTGCTGGAGGTCTCCCCGGGGGTGGGGGATGTGGCAGTCTCCGACGCTGGACCCCCTGGGGCCAGGGAGTTGGGTGTCTGGGCCGGTGCCGTCCCTCCAACATTGTTGGCTGCATCAAGCTGGGAAAGACAATGGTGAAGGAGTGAATGACTGGGCTGGCTGGGATCACAAACAAACAACACATGTAGCGGGGAAGCTGGTATGGTAAGTATATATGACAACTACTGCAGAAAAGAACATTGTTACCCGGGGGTTGATGGGGTCAGAGTCTGCGATCATGGATCATAGATTTACAAGAACACAGCATCCGGTCTCCAGGGCAATTTCAAATTACCAACCTTTCATTTTCATAAGGCAATTTTGATTTGCCATGACACTAAGTCTAACGGTCCAATCACAATGCGAGTTACAAACCAGGCTCAATGTTGGGTTGGCGATAACAACATGGCAGCCTGTTCAATTGATAACAAGAGTTTGCAAGAATTCAAAGTTGAAAAACTGACTTGACATGCAAAAGAAAACCCTAAAACAATGTTTTTCATGGATAGGATGTCTTCATGTCCATTACCACTGGCAGTGGCTTTGGTCTCTGGGCAATACAGGTTACCTCCCCTACCCATTTCCGTATCTCGCTGTTTGATTGGTAGGTAGGTAAAATCTTAATTAATATCAGGTAATTTGATGTTGCAAGAACCACAGGAATGGATCCCAGGATACGTGTAAGTCTGCCAGTGTGAGGATGAAGTCACAGTAGCCAACTAACCCCGTGTTGGATGTCCCTCACAAGCATACAGGGCACCCGACAAATAAGCCAGTTTAGACAAGGAAAACCAATTCTTCACCAGAAAGCTGACAGACATTAACAAGTATGTTGCAATCAGGGACATACTCCTGTAGAATCCCCTTGAGAAGTTTCCAGAAACATTTCGTCAACACATCCTAAGAACATTTCCGTCATGGAATTAAAAAAATACTGCCTCACACTAAATGGACGATGATGGTAATGCTTACCTCAACAGGAGCGTTGCGTATCCTGGGAGACTGAAACAAATCAGAAGGTAACATCAACTTGCAGCAGCTTCTCTGGAGGTGATTTCTTTTTCTCATCAAAGCTGATTTTACAAATTCGACTGTATTTAAGCATTGTTTCCTATATTTAGAATTTATACTGATGTCAACTATAATGTAACTGCTGAGGAACAACATTGGGTTGGCCAAGGGAGAAGAGTCTATAATCACTCCATCTATCATAAGTACCACCCACGCACCCTTTCACATGAGATAGCTGCTTGACCCTCTTCCGACAACTGGTCCATCTCCTCGTCAGACCACTCCCACTGACCATCCTGTGTCCGGTGAAGCCGACCACTTGAACCTGGCACCCTCTTCACCTGTTAAAATACACACAAATTACCGGTACTACAAGGTGAGTGAGTGAATAATGTTTGCTGCCTATCACAACAGTATGACAACAATCTGCCAGCCTGTCTACATATGCATAGGGGTTACTATCAAGGACAGTTTAATAACTGTCATAGAACTGAGGCAGCTTGACAAGTACCATGAGGTCGTATTAGGCATTGTCTCATGTAATGCACAGGAAACTAGTAGGACTATAAAGAACTTAAGAGCCATCATAACACCATTGCAGTGGCATGCCGAACACCTGATCCACGGGAGTTATGAAAGTAACTCACACAGTCCACAAGCCATATCCACTTTCTTAAGAGGTTCTACCAACACATTAGACATGGTAGAAGCCTGAACTAAACAGTGGACATTCTATTTCTTTAACAAAATGTCACATGTACAAAAGTGTTGGGTTGGTCAGGTATCTTGATTCAAATGATGTTTAGGTTACTCCCAGCCAGAACCAGCCCATGACAATTCCAAACTCCAGTCTTTATCATCTGAATTGCATGAATCTATTTATTTCCTTCTATTAGATGAAGCCGTGTCTCCGCCATGCACCTACCTTCTGTGGCTTTACATTTGTCCCATCAGACAGCAGGACCCTTGTGATGTAACCCTTGTCCTGAAACACACTCAGTCACTTTAGTCTACGGATGTGTAAAGCTTCTCTAACAGACCTACATGGGTGCCTACCGGGTAGGAATGACTCAATATCCTGGAAGGGAAGACACTGTCACCACAAAGTTAAAAGTCACATGTGCGACACAACTAATAAGTGTGCTACATTGTCAAAACTATGTCCAAGTTAACCACTCCTATAACCCAACTGGGTAACTCAAATTACCCAATGTTGAATCTCATTCTGGATAATTGTTTTATTGCGGGGGGTCGAAATTCCTTGTATTATAGTGCAAATTGCATGGATAAAGTTGTGGATGCACAGTTAAGAGAAGTTCCTGGTTCCAGTAGGGCAGTATCAGATACTAATAGCATTGTCTTTAAAAAACATTGTTGTGATAATGTATATGAAATGAAGCTAGTGTTTATTTGTATGCAGTTTAGCAATATTCAAGCAATATGACTATGGTCTTTAAAAAATCAAGTCTGGATCAGATAATCCAGTAAATGACATCATAATCATCGATCCACATAACTGGGATGTGATGACATGCATCAACCAAGTCAGCGAGCCTGACCACCCGATCCTGTTAGTTACCTCTTAGGAAAAGCATACTCGCCTCTTACAACAAGTATGGGTTGCTGAAGACCAATTCTAACTCAGATCTTCATGGGCACAAAGCCAGTGATAAATGTACTTTAGCAAAAGTAAGCAGTGCACTCATTTAGAATGAATATACAAACATTCATGTTTGATTGATAACATAAAGTTTGGTATTTGGAACTTGGAAGGTTGTTGCTGATGAGGAAGGAGACAATCTTCCTGGATTCCATCAGTTATGTTGCTCACGTTGACATGACATCCCCCAGTAAAAAGATGAATCAAAGGTTGCTCTTGTTGGCATGCTCAATTTCCAAATGTGAGGTGAGGTGAAATTGAGTTTAATGTCGGGTTCCAGATTAATGCAATTATATAGCGATGTGCATGCATGTGTGTTTGTGTGTGGATGCTTGTAGTCTGGACTGATGCCGATTTATAGTGCTAGCTTACTGAGATACCATGCCGCAGTTTAACATGAATAGGTCTCAGGTGGTCTCAAATTCAAAAGGGACCACTTTCCAAGTGCTCTTTGGTACATTTGAAAACCAATACCTGTCTATCTGTGTATTGTTTACTGATGTATTAACATAGATGAAGAGTAGTCACAGGACTTGTATTAATCTAGGGCCCTGGACCGTGGGCTGGTATAATGGAGAATCAGGACTTGTATTACTCTAGGGCCCTGGACTGTGGGCTGGTATAATGGAGAATCAACATCAAATCACATAGCTTACCTTTGCCTTCTTGAAGAAATCATGTTTCAACAACTGCTTTGCAGTGGGCCTGAAAAGTAAATGTAAACATCAAAATATTTTGCCGTGACAATTGAAGGACAAAATACTTCTATTCAGACATGCTTTTGCCATATATGGCATTTGTCATATCCAAGATAAATATTCTTCATTTCAGTGAAAAGTCCTTATCATGCCTCCATGTTAGAATAATGACACCTGATTGGTTCACATGATCTTGATAAAATACTATGTATATCGCCTATTTTTTTCATATTTGGATCCTTCTCCTGTTTTACTATCTTAAAGCTCCTACTGCTGTTTTGTTTACTTAGGAGACGTAGCTGTGAGAGGTCTGGTCTACAGAAGTTGTTGTTCCCACTAGTTGTGTAGCTCCCTTCCTCCCACAGTTACCACGTGACCGGAAGTGGCCAGGTCATGCACCATCACATCACTGCTAGTAACGGACAACTGAAAGAACTTCACAGGGAGGAAGCAAAGCGATGACAGTTCACTTTAGATGTAGTAATGCAGGATAAATAAATCTGTGAGCGTGGGATCCGGTGGAATGGATGTAGGGGAAGACCAAATTGTTTCCCTCAACATTCCACCCCGTGGAGGAAGTGACCGAGCCACCATCCAATCCAGCAGTTGGTTAAGTCCCAGGTGCAGGTCTAACTCCAACAAAGGGTCTGCAGTGAGAGGATCTGACCGAGCCACCATCCAATCCAGCAGTTGGTTAAGTCCCAGGTGCAGGTCTAACTCCAACAAAGGGTCTGCAGTGAGAGGATCTCACCGAGCCACCATCCAATCCAGCAGTTAGTTAAGTCCCAGGTGCAGGTCTAACTCCAACACAGGGTCTGCAGTGAGAGGATCTGACCGAGCCACCATCCAATCCAGCAGTTGGTTAAGTCCCAGGTGCAGGTCTAACTCCAACACAGGGTCTGCAGTGAAGTACAACGGCAAGACCTGGGAGATAGAGCCACGTGTATGAGACCAACGAGGTGTAGTGGCGTCCCCTGAAGGAGCCAAAGGCGGATGAGAGGTAGTCGTAGTCACTGGCAATAAAGGCCTGTGCATATGCAGTGTAAGGGGATGCTGGAGGTAAACTGATTGCTGATTGAAATACCAGAGGCACTGGAGAAATCAATGGAGTCACGGTACCTGGAGGTGCCAACATAGGTATTGTGAAAACTGGAGGTGACGGAGGAGTCACCTGGGTCATGTATGATGCGTACATGGATTGCATTCAAATATGGAGTATGGAACGAGCCCAAACCAGGCGGCATGAGATGCGGTGGCACTGCGAGTGCCACAGACGACAGTGGGGAGGTACTGCTCCAATAGTAATGATTGTGCGTAGTTGGCTCCTCAGTGTCAATGTGATCAGCTATCTCCGAAGGAAGTCGGGGCAGTGTCCCTGTGATCAGCAATCTGGGGATGCCTGCAGGCATTTTGGGTGTGTCGCTTTCTCAAAACCCTGATATATAAAGCGAAGTCAATGGAGGAGAGATTTCGGTAAAACAATTGATGCAACGGGGGTATGAATCCTTTGCTGATTTATTGCCACGGCATTGTGAGCAATGGGACATATAATTTCTAAGAAATAGTGTCTAAGCAGATTAGACACACATGTCAACAAAGAAAGACGGGCATGTAATTATAACTCAAACTTTTGGAAACTTGACGAGAGAAATTTCGATATAAAGAGTATAATTATACACTTAAAAAGCCCAGAATAGAAAAGTATTTAGTACATGAAACAAGAGCTAAGCTAGGCATTTTGAAATATCAAAGCACAAGACACGTAAACATGAAGTAGTAAAACAAGATGGTGACAGGTACAACACATGCATGAAGAAAGAGCAGGAATGAGCCAATGTCAGGCAAAAATTATGCTAACATATGCCTGAAAAGACCACCCTGGTATGCCACACTATAATCTACATAATTTATAACATATTGGTTATCAAAGGATCAGTAAAAGGATAGGCAAAGGATGCTATCTGGTTCTTCAAAATGGGGAGCTTTGTTCTCAAAAGTCTGTTCAGTCCGATGACTAACAGTGATGTGAGTATATGTGACCTGGCCACTTCCGGTCACGTGGTAGCTGTGGGAGGAAGGGAGCTACACAACTAGTGGGTACAACAACTTCTGTAGCCAGGACCTCTCACAGCTACGTCTCCAAAGTAAAAAAACAGCAGTAGAAGCATTAAACATTGTTAAGGTAGTAATGCTGGATAACATAAAAAGAATTGCTGTAGCAGATCACTCGGGGTGCATGTGGTTTAATGCGTCCATTTATGCGAGCCTGTGGCTTGTGGTATAAATCCTATCATGGGACACATAAAACCACTTATCATACCTCCATGTCAGAATGATGAGATCTGATTCGTCCACGTGATCGTGATAAAATGCTTGGATGGTAATAAATTCTTCAGCAGGGGAATAAATCTCTTATACCCCGCCACGAGCAGTACAGGCTGCTCATGCATTTCTGAGAGAAAAGAAATCCCTTATACCCCGCTTCAAAGCAAATAGCCACACGCTTTTTCCGAGTCAATGGAAGTTAACCTCAGCTCAATCAAATAGTTGTTTTCTAACAATTTTAAATTTCTGTTCATTCTTTTACAATGTCACATATCATGTCAGTAAGTTAAATTCATTGCAGAAGGGTCACGAGGGGTACATGGGCTTTAGGCGTTACAAATTATAATGTACCTCTCGTGATACTGCTTCAACTCAAGTGACAAGTGATTTCTAAAAGTCAAATAACAGGATTTGAATCAGAGCAATGGTAAAGATGGGCATTTAAATGAAAAAAGAACCATATTCTACAAGTATTTTCACTTTTATAATGCTTTCGCAACTGGCTACCGACCTTTTTTCTGGCTCTCGCTTGAGGCAGTCGCTGATCATCTTCCGGAACACCTTACTGTAGCCCTTGTACTGCTCCTTGTCATCGGCCCCGGTGTCCAGACTCGGGGGGTCATTCTGCAGGGTCAGCATCAGCACCTGGGTGGAGGGAGGGAGGGAGGGGTGAGGGATGGAGGCAGTAAAAAGATAGCCAGTAATAGACAGCTAGCAATACAGTCAATCCGACGATCGGCTTCATCCGACACTAATAATAGGAACCGATTAAATCAGTGCTATTTAGACCCTTTAATCCATCAGTCTCGCACTTAGACTCCGACACACCTAATTTGCAACAAATTACTGAAATCACTCATTAATCAGTCTCGATAATCCAACACAGTGATCAGCATACTCCATGGTCATCTGCCTGCGAGTACACAGCCTGTGTCATACAGTCATACAGTCCGTAACAGTTCTTTTGTGTTAAGCTTTAGAAGTTGCATGATTAGAAAACATATTCCGCTATCAATGTAACATAACAATATGAATATTTCATTTTTATTTTTTTTATTACGTGTTTGTATTGTTATCTATCGTGTAGTTGTCAGATTTTCTATCACGAACGTTCATACTACTTAATTTCGTTCATCCAACATACTCGTTAATCCGACATAATCATATGCAACCAACCATGTTGGATTAAAAGGAAATGACCATATTTCAGCCTGCTCAACACAACCAAGCTCCAATGGAGAAGTCTGCAGTGAATGATGGAATGAATGTTGTTTTACGCATCCTAGATCAGCTGTAAGGTAATCAGCATATTACATCTCTACTAACTGATATTTCACTCATCGGCTCCTGTAAGTGTCATCTCATTTAAAAACTGGACTGCAGGCAATGCTATGGAGGTGAATTGCTGGACAGGTCCAAGTTACTAGTAATAACAGAAAGTTGTAGTACACAGGGAAATCGAGCTGTGCTTATAATTCTTGAAAATAGAAAACCCTGTGTCAATATTTACCTTCATCGGTGGGTATTTGTGGTATGGAGCCGTTCCCGTGGCCAGTTCTATTGCTGTGACACCAAAACTCCAGATATCTGCCTTGAAGTCATAGCCTGTGACCTGTGAAATACATTCCACAGTTAGCACGGCCAGTCCACAGTGAGTGAGTGAGTGAGTGAGTGAGTGAGTGAGTGAGTGAGTGAGTGAGTGAGTGAGTGAGTGAGTGAATCATGTTCTACTCTGCAGTCAGCACAACTCCACCTGTATCATGTCAGCCTGGAAATACTTGATTCTGTCAAACCAGTCGTTTTGTCCTAGATAGCCACCAAAAGCCTGGCCCCAATGAGAGAGAAAGCTCACCTGCTCCATAACTTCGGGTGCCATCCAGCAAGGCGTCCCAACAAACGTGTGCCGCACAGCATCCCTGGTCATGTCCTTGCCTGTAGCCAGCCACGCACTCACGCCAAAATCTGCAGTCACAAAACATAGGTCAATATAAACCACCCAGTGACAGGACCAGACATAAGAACAGACAGACAACAGAATGAGACATAAGAACAGACAGACAACAGTACCAGACATATGAACAGACAGATACTGTAAATCTTAATATGAACACAAGTGTGAATTAAATGTGAAAAATGCTAGTGGTCTTTGTACACATTAATGAAACTTCGCATTTATCTCTCCAAAATGACTATCAACAATAAGACGGCCTCACTGCCCACTTTGGATAGCGGAAATACCAACTTGAATATAAACACATACATGGTTTATTGAGCAGCAGTTGTAACGAGTACATAACAATGTCATTCAAAGAATAGGAATTGCACAATAGGCATCCGGTGAGTTTGTCACTGCTGGGGTCAAGAGTTCTACCCATTTGTGTCAAACTAGGCTTCTTTGACCACTCCAAACAGTGAACAGTTGTTGGTTCAATTATTTTAATGTCTTTCTTAATGCCAGTCAAATCGCACTGATTTTTAGTTGCATTTTTGGCTAGGGGTCAGCAGCTGTATTAATTTGGAGACCCATCAATTTACAGTAATAGGAACAGAAACAACAAACCTATTGTCAGATTTCAACAGACAGACTCTTCTAATACCCTTCCTATAAACCATATCTTATCATTTTACTAAATAGGACTGAACATGAGCTGCCTCCTTTTGATATAAGTGTGTCAAACATGGTATCATATCCATGGTAACATTGGTTACATGTGTACTAGCCTGATATGACTGGTATTGACGTTGCTGGTCACCAGCCAATATCTCCTTGTGGTTATTTGGTTTGGTTTGGTGTTTTACGCCGCACACAGAAATATTCAAGCTATATGACAGCAGTCTGAAAATAATCGAGTCTGGACCACACAATCCAGTGATTGATATCATGAGCATCGATCCACGCAGTTGGGATCGATGAAATGCCTCAACCAAGTCTCCTACAAGCATAGTCACCTTTTACGCCAAGAATTGGTTGCTAAGGACCTACTCCTTTTGTAAATACTCAGCAGCAGCCAAATTCAGTCATATCTCACAACCACTGGGCATTGTGAACCAATTTTGTTTCCAACCTAAAACACTGCCAGACTGTACAATGTGACGGAGCACCCACCTGCAATGTACACAGCTCCATCACTTCCCAGCAGGATGTTCCCAGCCTTGATGTCTCTGCAAGCACAACCCAAGGTCACACAGAATGGAGAGTGAGTGAATGGGGGAATGCAGGGATACAAATGTTGGTTTTCACGCATACTGCAGGTCACTCCGCTTTACATTACCTGTGCCACTATGACCTTCACCACTGGCACATTAATACAAGGAATTACGCACCACGGAATGAGGAAATGAACAGATATCACAAAATGCTGTATCAGCAATTAACAGCTAATCATACCATGGTAAAATGGAGAGATATTAGCAAATCTTTTTGATGTTGAAATTGGGGCTTTTTGTTTCAATGTTACAAATTATGCATTAAGTATGACTACAAAGAATTGGAAAAATCCCCCCAAAATCATGGTAGGGGGCCAATACATGTTACTTCGTATTGCACATGTTACAGTTGGTCAGCACGCCCCTGGAGTTACAGCAGGCCCATGTTAGTGTCTTAGACATTCCAGGAGCTTGTGTTGACGACAATACCATAACTGGCAGCCACATCTGGTACCTGTGTATCTGCCCATTGTTGTGGAAATACTCCAAGCCCTTCAGGACCTCTTTTAGAACTGTTGCTATGACCCCCTCGTCAAGGACACCATTCTTGAACTGCCCAGTCCTCATTCGGGCCTTGATCACATCCAGCATAGAGCCTACAGTGGTACGAAGATAGTCATGAACAGTGAGTGGGTATGGTTTTACTCAGCTTTTAGCAATATTCCAGCAATATCACGGCGGGGGACACCGGAAATGGGCTCCATACGTTGTACCCATGTCGGGAATTGAACCCTGGTCTTCGGCGTGACGAGTGAACGCTTTAACCACTAGGCTACCCGACCACCCCTACTCATGAACAGACTAGTTGAGGTGTTGGTAGTTCTCCCACGTGTTACACATGCACATGATAATTAAACAGTTAAACAATGTACACAGTACACAATAACTAAATACAGCAGGAACCAATACTTTAAAATGAAACAATTGGTCTGCAGAGAAAGAAAAATGTTATGAAACTCTCCTCAGGCTAACAGAAAACACACACAAGACCCTGACACCAAAAATATTCAATTTTCAAATAAATCAAACAAATTTTTAAAGAGGTTGTGGGCACAAAATGTTTCAAAAGGGTTTACTTTGAATTACAATAAAGTTGGTTGTTTAACGCCGCACTCAGCAATATTCAAGCTATATGTCGGCGGTCTGTAAATAATCGAGTCTGGACCAGACAATCCAGTGATTAATATCATGAGCATCAATCCATGCAATTAGGATTGATGACATGCATCAACCAAGTCCGCAAGCCTGACCACCCGATCCCGTTTTCTTATGAAAAGCACAGTCGCCTCTTATGGCAAGCTTGGGTCCCTGAATTACAATAAAGAACATTTATAATGAACATGCTTATAACAAACGGGGATAAAACGAACTGGTTTTTGTGTCCCGGCCATTTCCTGTATCTCCTGTTGCATATGTTTATAACGAACTACAGTTATAACGGACTACAATTTCAGTTTCTTATAACCATAGTATACTGTATATAAGAAATTCTCAACACTACAAACTGACCTCCACTGCACAGCTTCATGACGACCCACAGCTCCTCCTTGACAACGAACGATGTGTAGTATCCCACCACGTTCTCGTGCTTGCACTGGCTCATGGCCCGAATCTCCTTCTGCAAACAACCAACAAAGCACATTAAATGCAAAAAAAGAAGAACAAGAAACAACTGATACAAAACCAATTTTTCAAAAGTTTTGTAGGCAAGCCAGGCTTCGTTCTAAACTCAAAAGCTCTACTAGCCAGGGGAAAGATGAAATGTCCTTGTAATGTTAAACAGCAGCAGAAATTGCCACTAGTTCTAACCCTGCAAGCAGTCCATATTTTCTTGGTGTGATCAAATCTTGACACTCAGCATGCAGTGGGATTTTGTTGATGTTTCAGAAAACTTTTAAATGTTTGAACAGACCGTTGTCGGGATATTACCATCATCATGAGACACAAAACACTAGAATCATGTCAACAAATCTGTACTGAAGTGTGCAAGTTAGTCCCATTATTACACTGTCTGTCTGTAAAAGTGTTCATTAGACGATGTTTTCTTGGAACCAAATGCTCAAAGACACTTTATTAAACACATTTAATCAATAAGGAAGCAACAGCATTGGTCATGTGACATTTGCAAGGTGTCATAGGCATGTTGCAGGTGGACACACGTCAAAATACGGTTGCCCAAATGCTGCATGTTTCTCAATGTGTCCGATACCAACAAACACATAATGTCGATGACTGATGCCGCTCCGGATGCCAAAGGGCAATAACTCCAGCCCAGGACAGATTAGTCAGAACAAGATTGCAAACTACCACTCAGACAAGGGACCGATTGCAATACAGGGCCAAACAGTTCGAAATCATCTGCATAGATGGCATTTGCATGCACGTTGTCCACGCATCACCATACAAATTACTGCATGTCATTTGATCCAGAGGCGTCAGTGGTGAATGGAATGTCCGCACTGGGATAATTGATGCTGGGCTTATATACATGATATATTTCCTGATAAAGGAAGTTCACTCTCGACTTCAGTGACCAAATGAATTGAGTTTGGAGACATCCTAACGAGTGTTTTATGGACATCTAACGTCTTACAGCATGGGTGTGGGTCCATTTTGGTATCACAATGACTGACCGAACTGTACTCGATATTGTCTATGGCAGAGTCACAGGTCAGCGATTTGAAGGATTCGTGCATGTCTGGCCAACAGAGGTGGTTTTGCCCGATGTTAGTGACAACACAAATGAAATTGATTGAAAAATGGTGGAAAGGTGAAAGTGTTCGCTCTCATGTATCCCGTGTCCATGACTACAAAATAGGGATGAAAGTTTGTTTGATTGTTGTTTAACGCAGCACTCAGCAATATTCCAGTTATATGACGCGAGCGAGCGATGAATGGCCATTCTGAGTAATATTTACTTCAGTACACATCACAGTACAGATATATGTATCAGAATACATTGCAAAACAATTTGTTTGACCTTACACATGGTACACAGCCTTAATGTTTATCACTCAAGAGAAGAGCAAACTTTTACCAGAAGTTCTTCTACTGTTGTGTTGCATTTTTCGAGGTTGATTCTCTTGATGGCCACCTTCTCCTGTCTGGGTTTACACATGGCAGCCTGCACAACTGCTGTGGCTCCAGCACCTGGAAGAAGAGTCACTCAACCTGTCTAAGATCATCACATCCACATGGTACAGGTAGTCATTGATCTGTTGAATCTAAGGATGAGGCTAACATCATTGCCCTATTTAAAGCTTTGCAGAGGTTTCTGTCCCTGGTCCTTCTGTGATGGGGCATTTACCTGGGTCTATCTTTTTCCGAGGCCTGGAGACTCAGCATCAAATTTTAAGGTCAAATTTTTTCTGTCAACAACGGAAATGTGACAAAGGCCATTATTTATATCACAAATACCAGGGTATGAAACTTCCCAAAATTTCAGCCAGACCACAGGACTGGCTAGCTGAAATACTTGCCAGCCCTGACCAAAACCTGCCTGCCCACTATAATCATATGTTTCTCAGGATAAGCTAACGGGATTTCTTTTTGGTTACATTTTATCATTCATCTTTACATGTGAATTAATGATTATCATCGGGAAATATTTAGAATATTGTCACATATGAAATATAACCCGACCGTCGGGCAGGGGGATTTGAAAATCTGGCAGCCCGAGTTGAAATCAACCGGTCTCGGACGGTCGGGCAGGCAGGTATTTCGAACACTGCAAATACATATCTAAGTTACAACGAGCGATAGCTGAGACATTTATTATATATATTCTCTAAGCAGAGTTCTGGTACACATGGAACCTGCAGTTGGTCAGTAAATTAAGATCTTTAAAAAATACAGGTTATAAACATGATAAAGCTTTCTTTCTTATTTTAAACAAAAAGCAATTTTAGAATTTGTTAATACCAGTGTTTGAAAATATACACTCATTTTTCTCACAGTGACAGGAGGAAGCTAACAATAAGTGTGAAAATGTTATGATGTTATGAGGGCTTCATTTTCCGAGCAAAAAACATTGAAAAAGTCCTGAGTTATCCCTCTTAGATTATGACGTAAATTAGTGCCAATTTAACCATGTTAACTGGATCACTGTCTAGTCACAACGCAAAAGATATCAAGTACCAGTTTATTGTCTTCTCAGTCACGCTTTTGGAAAACGAAATAATTGTATTTAGAGTAATTGAGCCTCGTGTTGTATTTTGAACAGCGGGGCACCAAACAAAATCGTAGTCTGCGCATCTAAGAAGCTAGACGCACACACCTGTACCTACACCATGTGAAACAGGTCTAATAAAGTCTTATGACATCATTCCTTTATCACTTGGCACCAGTGACATCAAATTGCAAGAGACAAAAGCCATGGTGTTTTTATTATGAAAATAGAACTCTCGGTAAATGTGAAAAATATCAACAGATTTAATAAATAAGTTACTTGTGACATTTGTATTGTTTTGGCACTGAAACTACTAGGTAAATACTTTTCTGTTGAAAAAGTACAACAAAAATAGGTGCATTTATGTGTGAACTTACCCTTTTAACATTTCAATCAAATATGAACTTAATATGCCCAAGCAGCACAAAATAATTGTGTAAAGGCAATATATCTTATGCATATTATGTGATATAAAGCTTCTCACGCCTGTTCTGAACTAATTATAAATGTTATAGATGCTGATTTCTTTGATTAAAACAAAAGTTAAGTGATTTCAGAGCAGAATTGGAAATGGACAGTGATAACTTATTTGTTCACAGATCTTGTGTGTTTCTTTGATCCTGAGGGTTTGTTGTTCTTTGCATACTAGAGTGGTTATCATGAGATATCTGACGCTAACACAAATAATTAGCGCTTGTTTACCTAGTGACCGACTGTTTACCTTGATGAGTGCAAGACATTTTTCGCTGCAAAACGCAATGAAAATTGTACAGATTTTCCTTTAAACGTAGGATTAATTTGTGAAAAAGATGAGATAGCTATCCAACTCACAAATATCCCTAAGGATTGTAATGGGGTACCTTACCAAGGATCGTAAAGGGGTGTTTGATTAGAAAGGGTTATCTAATCCTAATGATTTGTAAGGGGATCTTACCTGAGGATAGATTTGGGGGTAAACCTACCCTAACCTTAACACAACCAACACTTTTAGGGCATGGCTCAAAAGTACACAAGATCAGTGAAGCGAGAGACTTATTTAGCAGTCGGAGCCAAATAGTGCTATAAGCTGCACCCAGTAAACTGCAGTTTTTCTTCTTGCAGTACTTAAAAACATGGAGTATTATTAGCTAAGTTTTTCTGGAACAACATGAACAAAAGAACTTTTGCAAGATTGTTGTATATCCCAAATGATCATTAAGGAATTGTACCACAAGTACTTGAGTATCATATAGCATATTTATGAGAGAGAGAGTAGTATATACCCATCCCATATACCATCAATCTATATATTTTAGAATAAAATATTCCATTTGCCCAGTACATAACAATTTATCATTTTCAGTTCACTTAAATTATCTGGGTACATGTGTTACATGTTTTGTCAAGGTCACTATAACTATATGTAAATTTGAGGACAAATATCTCAGACAAATGCTACAACATTGCCATATGTGCCACTCTGTCGAGCTCTCGTTTACAAGACGTGCGTAACCTTGACTTCATGCCATGGGTTTATCTGGCGAGGTCGGGGTGAACACGGGGACAGGAAGTGATACAAGAACTACACAATTTGAATCAAAAACATGTGCGAAACATTCGTGCTTACATAAGAAATTAACTTCATAAGTGACAGACATGGTATTTACGCATTCCAACATAGTTAAAGACTTGTCCGGAGGAGATGTAAGCAAATTACATGACAAGCATGGAGTTTGAATGACAGGCAATTAAAAACAACCCGAGTGACATCATAAACATGTCACAGAATCCTGCTGTCAGTATGTGGCATAGAGGTTGTCTTAAACCAAATCTAAGACAATATGAGTGTGTTTTGATTCCGACATGACAAATGGTTAATCCACACTTTACCTATTACGTCCAAGAGCTCATAATCGTCTTTCAAAATCGACCAAGTCACTGCTGCAGCTCCTTCGGCCATTTTGGCGCTGTATATCGACCTTCACCTTGATCAAGGCCGAAAGCAAGGTGAGCACATGTTTCTAAGGGAGGTAATCGAAAGCATGGATTTATTTGAATCCGATAGGAAATAAGTACATATTTGAGGGGGAGGGGGGTTAATTTCATAAAGCTCATATGACTACGTGTAATCTTAAATCAACCAATGACAGTCCTCATAAAATTAACTTCATTTCTGTTTTGGGACCATATAATGAAAAACAATTACTGAATGTGAATGTATTTGTTTAATCATATCATGTTTTAGCAGCACGACTCTCATTCTTAAAAGGCTCTTGTGTAGCCCTGACTCAATTATTTTCAGATATGCAAGTTCCTTATATACAAGCCATGTCATGTCACACAAGTCTCACGTATATGTAATGTATTAATTATGTCATACAACTCCATAATGTGTGAATATATCAGAACCTGCATGTCCATCAATTCCGCGTTAATGATACTGTCATAATGTCATATCCTGTCCACCATGCACTATGCTATGCTGAAGTCGTTATGTCATACACTGTCCATGGTGCCGCACTTTGTGATGAGATCGTAATGTCATATGCTGTCGATGATGCTCCTTGTTGTAGTGACGTCACAATGTCATACCCTGTAGATGATGCTCCTCGTTGTAGTGACGTCACAATGTCATACCTTGCCGATGATGCTCCTTGTTGTAGTGACGTCACAAAGTCACACCCTGCCGATGATGCTCCTCGTTGTAGTGACGTCACAATGTCATACCTTGCCGATGATGCTCCTCGTTGTAGTGACGTCACAATGTCATACCCTGTCAATGACGCTCCTTGTTGTAGTGACGTCGCAATGTCATACCCTGTCGGTGATGCTCCTCGTTGTAGTGACGTCACAATGTCACACCCTGTCAATGATGCTTCTCGTTGTAGTGACGTCACAATGTCATACCCTGTCAATGATGCTCCTTGTTGTAGTGACGTCACAATGTCATACCCTGTCAATGATGCTCCTCGTTGTAGTGACGTCACAATGTCACACCCTGTCAATGATGCTCCTTGTTGTAGTGACGTCACAATGTCATACCCTGTCAATGATGCTCCTTGTTGTAGTGACGTCGCAATGTCATACCCTGTCGATGATGCTCCTTGTTGTAGTGACGTCGCAATGTCATACCTTGCCGATGATGCTCCTCGTTGTAGTGACGTCACAATGTCATACCCTGTCAATGATGCTCCTTGTTGTAGTGACGTCACAATGTCATACACTGTCGATGATGCTCCTCGTTGTAGTGACGTCGCAGTGTCATACCTTGCCGATGATGCTCTTCGTTGTAGTGACGTCACAATGTCATACCCTGTCAATGATGCTCCTTGTTGTAGTGACGTCGCAATGTCATACCCTGTCGATGATTCTCCTCGTTGTAGTGACGTCGCTATGTCATTCCTTGTCGATGATGTTCCTTGTTGTAGTGACGTCACAATGTCATACCCTGTAGATGATGCTCCTCGTTGTAGTGACGTCGCATTGTCATACCCTGCCGATGATGCTCCTCGTTGTAGTGACGTCGCTTTGTCATACACTGTCGATGATGCTCCTTGTTGTAGTGACGTCGTAATGTCATACCTTGCCGATGATGCTCCTCGTTGCAGTGACGTCGCATTGTCAAACCCTGTCGATGATGCTCCTTGTTGTAGTGACGTCACAATGTCATACCCTGTAGATGATGCTCCTCGTTGTAGTGACGTCGCTATGTCATTCCTTGTCGATGATGCTCCTTGTTGTAGTGACGTCGCATTGTCATACCCTGCCGATGATGCTCCTCGTTGTAGTGACGTCGCATTGTCATACAAGGTAGATGATGCTCCTCGTTGTAGTGACGTCGCAATGTCATACCTTGCCGATGATGCTCCTCGTTGCAGTGACGTCGCATTGTCATACCCTGTCGATGATGCTTCTTGTTGTAGTGACGTCGCAATGTCATACCTTGCCGATGATACTCCTCGTTGCAGTGACGTCGCATTGTCAAACCCTGTCGATGATGCTCCTTGTTGTAGTGACGTCACAATGTCATACCCTGTCAATGATGCTCCTTGTTGTAGTGACGTCGCATTGTCACACCCTGTCGGTGATGCTCCTCGTTGTAGTGATGTCACAATGTCATACCCTGTCAATGATGCTCCTTGTTGTAGTGACGTCACAATGTCACACCCTGCCGATGATGCTCCTCGTTGTAGTGACGTCGCATTGTCACACCCTGTCGATGATGCTCCTTGTTGTAGTGACGTCACAATGTCACACCCTGTAGATGATGCTCCTTGTTGTAGTGACGTCGCATTGTCACACCCTGTCGGTGATGCTCCTTGTTGTAGTGACGTCGCATTGTCATACAAGGTAGATGATGCTCCTCGTTGTAGTGACGTCGTTATAGTGATGTCAAAACTAATAACTGTCAGTCATGTTTCTTCCTAAATGTGTATATTTGTGAATATGTTGATAATATATTTTCCTTGAAATAATAGCCTTTAATGTTATGTAGTCATGTTCGTCCATTTAAAGTTTACCCAGTGGACATGGTCAAGACAAGCGTTCATTCTTTTCAATGTTTTTTTGGTACGGCGATTATTCAAGACATGCGCTTTTTCAAATTCAGACATTTTATCAAGGATTTGTGGTACATTCATATTGAAGGTAGCCTAGCTACATCTTCTTGTATAAAAAGCGGTAGTGCAAGACGTCATTTGTGTCACCCAAACTCTGAGCCGATTTTTCTGGTAAATCCTTCATTCAATAGTAAATTTGTATACTTATTTGGCACTGCCCTAAGGCTATTTAAAATATAGCTTTTGGCTCAACGTATTTAACACAATAACGTTATGTTAACTTAACATAAACAACATTTGTTTTGTTTCCAAGCGTTATACACGAACTGTATACCGGAGGTTATTTGTATAGTTGGCGGTCGTTTACATTTAGCTGAAAACATCACCAAATGAGTTTGTTATGAAATGAATTGTGTTGTAGTACGTTTACAGTTTGTATCTATAAGCAACCAAAAGTATAAATTAAATAATAAGTAGTCTACGGAAAACGGGTGTGTCTGCTATGTGCGTGTCTTGCGGGACTGATATTGTACTTTTGCGAATATGTTACCTTAGGGAACGTTCATCCCCATGTGTAAATTTCGTTAGGAACGGCATCGTCCGAAAAATCCGGTTCAGTGTATTCGTCGTATCAACATTTTGTCAAAGAAAACGTTTTTAATTGTGTGTGTGGTCCTTGGTGTAAATACACTTTATTATGTATTTTTCCACACTTTATTATGGCAATTGCCAGTTACATATTATGCTGCCAACTGAGCATGTCAGCAAAGTTTACTAATTCGCTTAACGCTGATGCGAATTATTTGCACTTCTTTGTTACCGGAGCAGGCATGAGGCTACCATGTATCAGCGGACATGATGTATTTGTTTAGCGGGTAACCCGATGTCATTTATTTACCTTTGCGGCAATGTGGCAAAAATGACAGGGAGATCGCAACTGTGTTTTCCTCTTGCATTTTTCCCAGAAGCCCCAATTTGGTAAATTATTGTCACTTCTTTGTTACACAAAGCATTATTAGTTTTCAAATTTCATGGGAGAAGATAGTAAACCGTAAATATTAAATTACAGGTTTGTAAATCTGAGCAGACAATTCAGGGAAGTGCATAAAATACATTTTAGTTGAAGCATTAAATGTTGGACAGTAATTAGAGAGGTCTTCCTGTATAGAACCAGACCAAAACTAATAATGATAATAAGAAAACCCCGCTGCTGTGGTTGTAAGAAATGAAAACAAACTGAAAACGCCGATCTAAATTTGGAGAGGATGGGTTTACTGTTAAAGGCATTTAAATGCCATCCCAAACATGCCTTCACACGACTTGTAGTGGCGGAAGTAGAAGGTGGTCACATGTCAAAAGTAACCAATCAAAATGTTGGAGAAGTTCTGTCATGGCGGCAAAGTGGTGTACTGCTTCCTGTAAAATGCAACTCCTGTAGAGGTTCTTCATGTATTGTAGGGATTAATTGACACTTTTTGAACTGTCATGAAACTGGGCAGTCTAGTTGTCCAGCAACTGGAGGAAGAGGTTTGTTTGCAACACACTGTGTGCTAGGATTGAAACTTTTGAGGCCATGATGCAGTTCGATACGCATATCGCCGTGACTAAGCTGTCTGCTTCAACTTGCAGGTCGACTTTATTGCTCTAACCTTATGCCACATGCCGGAACGGTGACTCGTGGCACTTCCGATGTAAATGTTATTTGTGTAGATAGTTATTTCCCATATTTATAAACATATGAAATGATTGAAACCATGTTTATTACAACTGTCATTTGACTCTTTCGACTCTTTTGACAGTTTCGTAGCATTGTGTATCTTACACTGAATGTAGAACATATTTGGCCTTGTGTTCATCCAAATCGTATGGGTCGTTATTTTACCATCAAGTGCTTATTTTTATGATGTATGTGAAAGCTTTCGTTTTGTTGTTATAACCAAAATGCATGTCAATATTTTTGCTCTATGTGATAGATAATAACAGCCCCACCCATCAACTAAAGACTTAGTCAACTTTATGTTCAATTGCCATGATTGCTGTTCAGAAAAAGAAGGTTGACTCATAAGTTAATGAATGTGATAAGGATTTAATACCAGGCTAAGGAGAGTCCTACATGCTCTATAATTCATCATGTTTCTTAGCTTTGTCTGCACCATACCCGTGCTTGCGTAAGTGGTAAATGTCGAAGACCTACTTAAGGCTGTCCAATTACATTAAGCTGACACACCATGATATAACTGCAATACTGTTAACTATTATTTATCTTATTTGATCAGGTGTTCAAGTTTGGTTTCTTTGTTGGTTGTGAGTCATTTTACCCAAACAGTTGGCATGTTGCTCCTAATACCAACCAGTGGTTTGTCTGGTCCAGACTTAAGTACTGACAGGTACCGTATAGCTGGGATATTATTGATAGCAGTGTAAAGCAACATCTAAAGCAACTAAGCTGAAAGTAATGTGTATGTAATTTAGAGAAGATTAAGCAATTTAGATGGGTAATTTAATTCCATCAGGTAAAACTAGATAAGTAGCTACAGAGAAGTGGAAGTGCAGAAAATGTTCCAAGTTGTCCATGGTTAAATAAGTAATTGTTAGTAATTATTGATAACCTGTGAGAAGTTAATGTATTTTGAAGATTAAACTTTTGACAATAACTATGATACTTGTCAAATCTGTTGTCAAAAGTACTTTGTCTGGTGACTGGTAACATAAAGTTTGATTAGGGTATTCTGCCAAGACATCGAAACCTGGGGACAATGTCAACCTTATTCTATGCAAGTGATTGAACCCGTGAAGATCTGGGTTAGAATATGTCTTCAGCAACCCATGTTTGTCGTAAGAGGGGACTCTTGTCGTAAGAGGCACCTAACAGGATTGGTTGGTGGTTAGACTCGCTGACTTGGTTTGATGCATGTCATCGTATCCCAGTTGCGTGGATTGATGATTTACAAACACACATTTGCCAGACATTAGGGGTCTACAGAATAAAATAATGAATATATGACAGTTATGGTGATATTTATAAAATGAATAATGCCTGTGATTGCCATCTTATAAGGAAAGGTTTCTGAATCTTTGTCATTTATTTAAGCAAGATGTGAATATAAATAGCTACATGTAATAGACGTGATATTAGATCACCTGTTTTCCAAGAAAACTAATTCATGTGATTTTTGTATGTTTAATTGTTTTCATTTTCCAACAAAAAATATAGATGAATCATTGAACCTTTGCCTCACACAGTGTGGATACATGTAGCTTATACATCTACAGAACCAATAACAACTTCCTCATTGAACATATTGAAATGTTTTCCTGTATCCAGTGAACCACTGTTGTTAGGCACTGTTGTGTTTGTTCCTCACAGTATGGGTGGTGGTAGGGATCATTACAGGTGGGGACATAAATACCAAGCACAGTTTTGTGCATTATGTCTGGTAGTGATAACGCAGGGTTAGAAACTAACAGTTTTTGTCCACTAGTCCTTATAATGATAACATTTAGCAAAACCCTTAAAATGGGCCAGTTTCTACTAGTCCTTAGGATACCTTTACTATTGGGCAGTTAGGTAAGGACTACAGGACTAGTGCCAATTTCTAACGCTGTAATGCAGATTAGATTTTCAACTACGTGACAATGGTGGGCAAATATGGGTAAACAAGTTTTGGTCAAATGTTTTGAATGCAATGTTCTTATGTTCTTAAATTCAGAGATGTTCTAACATCTAATTCAATGCAATATGATCATGATGATATCAAACTGGTCACATGTGCAAATGTATCATAACCTATACATGTTGGACTTCAAATTGGGAATGATAGCAAACATTTGCTGCAGATCTTCAGCTAGAAAACTGAGATAACCAAGACATGTCCCTGTGCAAATGTATCTGTTCTAGACTACTAGGAATGTGAACTGAATTGTATTGCTTTGTTTTAAGTCATACATACATATGGGATTGATGCAAAATGATGGTGACCTAGTTTCTCTGAATATCAACTTACAGTTTGAGGTCTTCCAGGACACATGACCCGGTGTTGCTTCATGGTTACACTTAAACATCACTGATGAACATGTGATATGTTGATGTCGTCAGTGGAGTAGATAATCCTGGTCCTCTTGTTGCAGTCTCCTCTGGTGCAGGCTATTTTCCATGGGGACCCAGATGAAGTTCGAGCCCTGTTATACAAAAAGGAAGATGTCAACTATCAGGTACATAGATGCAAACTTTAGTTGTAGATGAAGGACGATGGGATATGGATACCCAGCATTCTGTTCTGTCTATCCTCAATGGATCATTAACAATCAATTTGAGAAAAAAAAATATATAACCCTTGCTCCACCTGCTTGTGTTTCATCAAGTGGTTAATGACGATATCCCTTTTGACTTTTGTGCCTTCAAGGTGGCCCATTCGTCCGTGGCAAGGCAATACAGTGTGCCGAGTTGTGCCCTTGAGGCACACCAGAAACAGATGATCATGCGTTTCCTATCCCAGTTTGACCCCATTATGTTTTTAGATTTGTCAGGACCATACTCATGCTTGTAGGTTTCACCAAAGTGTTAAAAGTCTGAGTAGTGGATTACTTCAGGCTTTCCTCCCATATCAACACATCAAACTGACACGCCGTGATATAACTAGAATACTGTTAAAGGCGGCGTATAACGATTATTGTTATTTTTAGTTAATAGGATGCAATGAAATGACAAATATTTAAACTTATCCTTTTTTCACATTATGCATGTGTTCTTTCTTCTTCAATAATAATAATTATAATATTATATATTGCGCATATATATATATATTGCGCATATTTCCACACCACTCAGGGGCATGCTCAAAGCGCTATTATTACCCTGGTCACTGGATCAATGTGCATTCAGGAATCATTCTCAGCTCCCATCAATGCCATCTCATCCTATCGGGTACCCATTCACTGTTGGGTAAACAGAGGCACATTTCAAACAAAGTCACTTGCCCAAGGAGACATCACATTTTACATGTGCTTCAGTGTGGGGTAGGCCTGAAGCCCAAGAAACTCTCAGGAGCCAAGCTGCCGAAATGCGGCCACACATCGAAGGACACTCCGCGATGTTGCTTAGCTTCACCTGATTTTGTTACCTGTGCGCTGTGCACTGTGCACAGGACAACATGCCACAACACGCGTGGAAACATGCTTGAACCATGTTTCCGGCATCTAAAACAAAAACATTCACGAGAACACAACCAAGCATCTCTATGTTTATGACCAACAGCTTGGTCAATTACGTGCTCTTGTGCACGGTAACCTTCCACACTTTGACTGCATGCATCTCTATCAACTTGTTTCTCATTAATGTCCGGCACAGTGTGTGGAAGTGCTTCTTGGAATATACACATATATTTCTTTTTACACTTGTTTGTATTCCGGGGTAGAATAGGTCTTCAGCAACTCATGCTTGCCGTAAAAGGCGACTATGCTTGTCGTAAAAGGCGACTAACGGGATCAGGTGGTCAAGCTCGCTGACTTGGTTGATGCACGTCATCAATCCCAATTGCGTGGATTGATGCTCATGATATTAATCACTGGATTGATGCTCATGATATTAATCACTGGATTGTCTGGTCCAGACTCGATTATTTACAGACAGCCGTCATATAGCTGGAATATTGCTGAGTGCGGTGTTAAACAACAAACCAACCAACCAACTACACTTGTTTGTAGACTGAGACGTCCTGTGACATAGGGAAAAAGGACAAGCTATCTCCGGCATGTCCCAACTGTAGATGCACGTAATCCATGTCTGATCCTCACACTCTGTTGTGATTGTCATGGTCAGTGCTTCTTAGACTCCAGGTGTGGTGAATGTCATTTGTTGGAAGAGTCCGCATTTTTCTCTATGTTGTCAGAGGAGGATGATGGACCGTAAATCCAAGGCTAAGGATTCTGGCAAGATAGCGTCAAAGAAAACTAAAGCAGTGTCTCCAGCTCACTCAGATGAAATCGTGTTATCGGTCACATACGACGCTGCCTCTGACAGTTTTCTCACAGATGATGTTTCTAATCCCGACCCAATGACCACTCCTCAGGGTCTGCTCCATGCCGATGTTTGGTTCGATTTCCGTTCTTGCAACAACATGATCAACTCCGTCCTCAAATGTAACAACTTATTTCTCTAATGCTTTCGCTCAAAAGATCGGACATACTTCTGCTTTTAAGATCCAGCGCCTGGACTCGACATGTTCCGTTCTTTTAGACAATCGGGTGAGGGATGACAAATCGACCGCTCGCTCCAAGACTACCCTTCGGGACGCTCCTGATCATCCTCAGGATCGCAGGAGAAAAGACACACGGGATCAATGGTCAGCTTCAAAACATAGGGATCAGGAGCGGTGTTCGCAATCGAGTCGACATTCTCGCTCTCCTGCTAGACGTTCCTCAGACTGGGACTGTATGCACGGCTCCTGCTTTGATGCTCCTCAGAGCGATGGGGATCTTGGGACTAGCCTTGTGAGCGAGGTCCTGGTCCGCTTCGGGTGACCACTCCTCCTCCTCTGTTCCTTCACCCCCTAGAAGTTCATCTTTTTACAGGGATTATCATCGCTACAGATTATCATCAACGTGGGAGCTACAGCTATTAGGATTATCCGCAGTACGACGCCTAGCGCGGATCTCTTACAGGGATGTGACTGTTATCCTTCCTATGGGGATAATTACTACCCGTACCAGCCTGGGTTTTTGGATTATTGGCACATCTACTACGGATTACTCTTGTTCTCTGCTTCGCCATCCTCTTACTGACCGATCTCATTGCAGCGACAATTCAAGACCTTCTCCTTGAGGATCGATGTTCTACACCGGACATGGATCAAGGAAGCCACTATTCACACAGCCATTCTCGATCGGTTCTGAAATCTCCAGAACACACTCCTCCCAGTTCAGTTTATCCAGTAGTCGCCCCTCTCACTCACTCTCGAGTTCTTCCAGCTCATCGACTCCCTCAACATCTACGTCCGGGCTCGTCACATTCCTGGGATCTCCAATGTCATAGCAGACTCCCTGTTCCGACTCGACAGACCGTCGCCAACAGGGTGGTCCCCGCACCAGACGCTGTTCCAGTTGCCAACTGTATCGGCCCTCAGAGGTAGATCTATTTGCCACCCACTTCAACGTTCAGCTCTCTCGCTTCGTGTGACCCATCCCCAAGCCTCAGGCTTGGGATCATGATGCGTTGGCGATCCTGTGGGAGGGCCTCAATGCCTACGCCTTTCTTCTCAACAGGTAGATGTCTCTGATATTGGTCACACCCCATTGGCCAACAGGCAACTGCTTCCCCACCTTGCTTTGGCTTGCCGACAGACGATTCCACCTTCTGGTCTGGTCTGTGATGACCTTTTACTTCAACTTTACTCTTTGAGTCTTCATTCGTCCCTTGCAACGCTCCATCTGCAGAAGTCCCTTATCGCTAAAGGCAACTTCAAGCGGGTAGCGAAGACTATAACTGCAGCGCACCGTTCTGTATATTTAAAATTTCCAATATTGACACTATAACAAATACAGACATATTAATGCAAGGGTAGATTCATACTATGCAACTTGCTATGTATTGTACATGTTGTAAATATTCACATTTCTGCCATACAGGACATTGAGAAAAGAAGTCCCCTCCATGCAGCCTCCTACTGTGGGGAAGCCGAGATCGCAGACATCCTCATCCTCAGTGGTGCCCGAGTCAACACAAAGGACAACAAGTGGCTGACTCCTCTACATCGAGCTTGCTGTTCACGCAGTGAGGTCAGTCACAGACAGAAAACATTCACATCTCAGGTTCTCAATATTTAACCATGTGTGGATTCTGGTCAGAATAGGCCACAGTGTCTCATGCTTGTGAAGAGCCGACTAGGAAGAGAGTTGTAAGGCTCTGTGACCAAACTGATAGTGTCAGTGGGTCCTTATGGCATGGATTGTTGCTCATGATTTCAGTCACTGGTTGGCCTGGTGCAGACTTGGTTATTTACAGGATGCCTTGACATAGCTGGCATATTGCTGACTGGCATAATACAATATTCACTCAACATGCTCCAGGATTAAAAACTTACAATTAATGCTTAAATAGTTCTTTCTTCGATTCTTGATACCGAATACTTGTGATATGAAATAACCAGAAGTTGTTCAGGCACTTCCTAGTCTCAAGTACACAGAAACGTATGTGATTTGGATATACAGTAAATGTTTCTTAAAGTAAAGGGATTAAGAACAACCTGAAGTTTAATTGTTCCAAGTAAAGGGTGAATGATCTTCTATGCATTTGGACACCACTGACAGTATATTTCAGCTAAAAGTTATTTCACTATCTTGATGAAAAACAGAAAACTGTTTTACTATGGTGTTAAGAATGTTGATGTATTGTCAGGAAACTGTGGAGACGCTGCTGAAGCACCAGGCGGATGTGAATGCCCGAGACAAGAACTGGCAGACCCCGCTGCATGTGGCTGGTGCCAACAATGCGGTGAAGTGTGCCGAGTATATCATCCCACTCCTCACCAACGTCAATGTGTCGGACCGGGCTGGACGCACTAGTCTCCATCATGCAGCATTCAATGGCCATAAGGAGGTACTGTGCCACTGTCCTCATCAGCGTACTTCATCTGCAGACATGTCAACTTCACAGTTAGTCCGCTAATAGCACTAAAATATACCTGTCCTGCCATAGAAATTGGCATTAGTCCCAAAGTCATTGCAAAACTGCCCGATACTTAAGGTATCGTAAGGACATGTACTTTTACTATGTGTATTTATCATAGGGACTAGTGGACTGCCTTGCTCAACCTCACGTGAAATTGTTTTGCAGTTTTGTTTTTTGTCTTGAACAAAATTGTATCATTTAAACTGAAATGAAGGATAAGGTAAAAAGATATGGCAAGTGGAGATGACTGAAGTTAATCACTATGCTGGGTTCGAGGAGCCAAATGTTTCCAAGTTGCCAAATAGTGTATTGCTACAGAAACATCACTGGAAGCATCCTGTAGAAACTTAACATTCTGTTGCATGTTCAAGCATCGTGTGGGGGCTATGAGTGGCCCAGTTGTGTATGGCGCCACAATTGGTTGTCCTTGGTGGTGCACCTTGAGTGTGTCAGGATCCAGTGAATGTGGGGTCGCCCTCATCATTGTCTGGCCTTCCTCCCACTTGAGGATGACATGTCATATCATATGTCTGAAATACTATTCGAAGCACTGTTCAATCAAACTCACTCATTCATTCAGACCTGTATCATTGATTTCTTAGTCAAATGTTCGAGTATTACTGGTCCCTAAGATATGCAGTGCTTGAAATGAAACAAATTGTCTGGCTTGCATCAGGACCGACATACATAAGAAGCTCCAGGTCCTGACAAAACTCTTCAGGCCCTCATTTTTTACAAATAAATGGACACAAAAATTTACTGCAGGCCCATACAAATTTGAAACTACGGGCCCAACACAAGATCTATCTGCCACAGGCCTAAGGGCAGATGCTTATTTCGGACAGGGAAGATATGTTGTGATTTGGGGCCTAATTGATTTCAAGTAGGTGATGTGACATGTGTTATGTGTGTATACAGATGGTGCAGCTCCTGCTCGAGAAAGGGGCCACCATTAATGCATTTGACAAGAAGGACCGTCGGGCGGTCCATTGGGCAGCTTACATGGGGCACGTTGAGGTGGTCCGACTGCTGGTGGATCATGGGGCAGAGCTCAACTGTCGGGATAAGAAGGTAACACGGGTCCTCTGAAGTCTTGAATACTTTGTCTTGTTTCATGTTAAAAAATTTTAACGTGCCGATGAAGTTTTACAGTGTAAAGTATCCATCTCACAGAAGTGGAAGGAGTGAAACAGCATGTGACTGGTGCTTGTAAATTTTCATTATCCCTGGTTGAATAAGCATGCTGATTTAGAAGCATTGAACAAGATGATTGTTTGGGATATGATTGAATGTAAGACATCATTTTGTTTTTTGTTTTTTCCAAATGGTTTCCGAGGAAGTAAGGTAGCTGTAATATGGCCCCTGTCTTTGGACAGAACTGTTGATACAAGGGACTGCCACCTAATTACAGTGCTGTGTTCCTGACCTTGAAGCCATTCTCCCTGTCCTCACATGTTGTTCTAGTAGTGAAAACTGTTATTAGTTTTGTGATGTTGGCACCTGTGCATGTTGTGGATGTTGCTGATGTTGCTGATCATTATTTGCGCCCCCAGATGTACACGCCGCTGCATGCTGCCTCGGCCAGTGGGCAGGTCAGCGTGGTCAACCTGCTGCTGGACCTGGGAGTTGAAGTTGATGCTGTCAATGGCGTCGGGAATACTTCACTACACGTGGCTTGTCTCAATGGCCAGGATATTGTCGTCAACAAACTCCTGGACAATGGGGCAACTGTCAATGCAGTCAACAACAAGGGAATGGTCAGTTGTATTGTCTTGCTGATAATTAATTATCTTTTGGGAAACAAGCCTTTTGTGGAAAGATTGTGTTTTCACTTCTGATGGAGTGAAATGTGTGCTTGAGCTCAAGATTGATTTGGAAAAGACATTTTGAAGAAAGTTTTAAACAAGGTAGTATGTGAGTTGAGGTGAGGTGAGGTGAGGTGAGGTGAAATGATCTTGTGTCAAATGTCTTTTGACATGTTTGTTTCTGTACAAAAAGGTTTTTATTCATGACAAATGGTTACATGTGACTTACAGTTTGATAATTTGAACGTGAAAAAATGTGAAATAGTATGTGCCCAAATCTTTTAGTCTACTTATCCCAACTTGTCCTTCTGCATTTTTTCCAGTCCATTATACTCCTTACATATGCTTTTGCTAGGTGAGCTCACTCATATATGGTGGATTCTCCATGTGGTTTACGCATTTGATCATCACACTAAAAGCCGAAGTTCGATTCCCCACGTGGGTACAATGTGTCTTGCCCATTTTTGGCATCCCCCACCATGATATTGCTGGAATATTGCTAAAAGCTGTGTACAACCATTCTCACTACTAACATCATGGTTAGGATAGGTGGCATTTTACCAGACATGCAAGATGGGGGTGGTTAAAAGTCACAGAATGATAACGTGATTTCATGTGGGACTCAGAAACATCCTTTTTTTGTATAGAGACATGGTGGTTCTTTGTTTTTGCATAATAGACAGGAAGTGATGAGTGTTGTGTACTACCTGGATTATTGCTGACATGTTCTCATTACAGACCCCCCTGCACTATGCTGCGGTATCAACACATGGAGGAATATGTCTGGAGATCCTCATTACAGGTGGAGGCAACGCAAAAACACAGGTAACTTGGGCATACAGTTCCACATGGTTCAACACGCAAATGGAAACGATAATTTACTTAACAAATGTGAAAGGGTGTGAAATTGACATTATGATAACTGAATTTTGTTAATTGAAATCTGTGGTTATGGAATGAATGCTTAAAGTGACTTTTATAATAAGTCTCAGAGATCCTTGTATTCTATAATGATAGGCTGCCTCATATGTCACTCCTTAGCTGAGATTATGTGCTTGGAATATAAGACTTCATCATTTCCACAAACCAGGAGCGAAAAGTGAAAGAGAATGACAAAAAGAAAGGGGAAGACGAAATAAATGCCAGTAGGTGACTAAGCATGACTCCGTGTGAAGATAGATAGATAGATAAGACCAGTGGTGCTGGCTGCTGGCTGGCATTGGAAGCAAACAACCAACTGCCTGGAATGTGTGCATGTGGAGTAACAGACAGGAAGTTCAAACATGCATGGTGTGACTTTAGTCAGATTGAGATGTTAAGAAAATTTTGTGTGTGTACAATTTTGAATGTATTTTTTGTAGCTTTTTATGACAGACTACTACTAACCTTTAACTCTGTTTCCAAAGTGAATAATTGTTGTGTGCCCCTTTATATGCATGTTTGTTAAATAACACGATACATTTATGTAATAATAATGTATTATGTATTATCTCCAATGATCATATTTTGATTCTGTTCTTATCACTTATAATTAACACCATTAATAACTCTGTTGTTGCTATATTCAAGTTTTGAGTTCAGGAATAGGATATTAGATTGAACATATTTGGCTTGAGAGGTGATAGATGTGCAGTTTAGCATGTTTAATGAGAGATGGGTGTTGATGTAGTTTGGAGATTTGCGAGTGCTTCTGGTTGACCTTATTTAGATTGAACACTAATTGTCATGGTGATAGTACCAATTTATGAGAGAGGGTTATGTTCAAGAGATGTTGACATTTTCTGTGTTTAATGCCGTACTCAGCAATATTCAAGCCATATGATGGCTGTCTGTAAATCATTGTGTCTGGACAACACAATCTTGTGAATAACATCACGAGCATCGATCCAGACCGTTGCACCCAGACATGCATCAACCAGTGTGAGACACAGGGCAGTTCAAGTTGTTGAAAGTGTTTTGTTTGTCCAGTTATGTGACAAGTAAACAATCAAGTCTGGACAAAACAAACAAGTGATTGATATTATCAGCACCGTCTGCCTCGGTACAATGACGCACAATCAGCCAAGTCACCAATCCTGACAATCCGATCCATTGTGTTGCCTCTTCTGGCAAGCGTAAGTGTTGGTCACTAATTGTAACCCCACATCTGCTTGGAGGCCTTGTTTGGAAGAATATTGGATCAGTGCAACATGTCAATATCTGCATTATTGGGCTGCCCAGGTTTCATAAGAACTTCAGTAAAATTGTATGAGTGTTTTCTGTGTTGAAGTGTGACTGTTGTGAATGAGTAGGAATGTAGAGTTAGGAATGTGTGATACAATAATGGTGTCTGGTCGGCTTGGGAGGACAGTGTTTGGGAGTTGGGAATGTGTGATACAATAAGGGTGTCTGGTCGGCTGGGGAGGACAGTGTTTGGGAGTTGGGAATGTGTGATACAATAATGGTGTCTGGTCGGCTGGGGAGGACAGTGTTTGGGAGTTGGGAATGTGTGATACAATAAGGGTGTCTGGTAGGCTGGGGAGGACAGTGTTTGGGAGTTGGGAATGTGTGATACAATAAGGGTGTCTGGTCGGCTAGGGAGGACAGTGTTTGGGAGTTGGGAATGTGTGATACAATAATGGTGTCTGGTCGGCTGGGGAGGACAGTGTTTGGGAGTTGGGAATGTGTGATACAATAATGGTGTCTGGTCGGCTGGGGAGGACAGTGTTTGGGAGTTGGGAATGTGTGATACAATAAGGGTGTCTGTAGGCTGGGGAGGACAGTGTTTGGGAGTTAGGAATGTGTGATACAATAATGGTGTCTGGTAGGCTGGGGAGGACAGTGTTTGGGAGTTGGGAATGTGTGATACAATAATGGTGTCTGGTCGGCTGGGGAGGACAGTGTTTGGGAGTTGGGAATGTGTGATACAATAAGGGTGTCTGGTAGGCTGGGGAGGACAGTGTTTGGGAGTTGGGAATGTGTGATACAATAAGGGTGTCTGGTAGGCTGGGGAGGACAGTGTTTGGGAGTTGGGAATGTGTGATACAATAATGGTGTCTGGTCGGCTGGGGAGGACAGTGTTTGGGAGTTGGGAATGTGTGATACAATAAGGGTGTCTGGTAGGCTGGGGAGGACAGTGTTTGGGAGTTGGGAATGTGTGATACAATAAGGGTGTCTGGTAGGCTGGGGAGGACAGTGTTTGGGAGTTAGGAATGTGTGATACAATAAGGGTGTCTGGTCGGCTGGGGAGGACAGTGTTTGGGAGTTGGGAATGTGTGATACAATAAGGGTGTCTGGTCGGCTGGGGAGGACAGTGTTTGGGAGTTGGGAATGTGTGATACAATAAGGGTGTCTGGTAGGCTGGGGAGGACAGTGTTTGGGAGTTGGGAATGTGTGATACAATAATGGTGTCTGGTCGGCTGGGGAGGACAGTGTTGGGGAGTTGGGAATGTGTGATACAATAAGGGTGTCTGGTAGGCTGGGGAGGACAGTGTTTGGGAGTTGGGAATGTGTGATACAATAAGGGTGTCTGGTAGGCTGGGGAGGACAGTGTTTGGGAGTTGGGAATGTGTGATACAATAAGGGTGTCTGGTAGGCTGGGGAGGACAGTGTTTAGCTTAGGGGAGGACAGTGTCATGTGTTTGTGTGGGGTACTTCCTGTCGATAAAGGCCAGTGGTAGATGACCATGATCAGGGCTGGTGTAGAACCTGACTGGGCCCCCCAGCGGGTCTGTGTTTTGGGTTTGGTGATATGTATGGTTCTGTTTTCAGAGTGAGGACGGTAGGACAGCCCTGCATATGACTGCTCTGCATGGTAGATTTACAAGAGCTCAGACTCTCCTTGAGCATGGTGAGACATCATGTAGCCACTAATGCCCAGTTATTCTGCTGCCATTAGAGTTCTGCCGTGTCAGTTCTTGAACGCCAAGCCAATCCTAACACCCAATACCTTTCTTGTGAGATAACTGTTACAAGGTGAGGGTATGTGTATACCGCCATCTGAAACCGGTCTCAACCCCAGGACAGCATCTATTCTGTTTGCACTCTGGGATAGAGTTTCATAATACAAAGTCACAAAAAACACCAGCATAACAGTTTGACTGACATAGAGATTGTTCTTTCAAATTGTTGTATGAAATGGATTGGCGAATCAAGGATTGAGCTTCTAACCAAGTGGATATGTGAAGAAAGTGTTTGCTTATTCTGCAGCATTGCTGGTAGACTGCAGCAGCATGTTGTCTTTGTGTACCATGCTTACAGTGCTGTGGTTATGTAACTACCGGGATCATCTAGGTGTGGTCATTGGGACATCATGTGAACAGTTTGAAAATATTGTACCCTGTTTGTCCTGACTGAGGTTTTATCTATATTGAGAAGCCTGTGAAGCTATTGCTAGTAGCTGTCCTGTTGAGCCATTGTGTTTATATATATATATGCATGAGTTAATTAGGAATAGTTGCATGGAAACTTTTGCATGAATATTGATCTTCAGGTAGTGACCATATTTTTGAATTCTTAATTTTTCAATGACGTATTTCTTAAACTTTTATGGCTCACGTCAAATAATCAGAACAAGTGAATTCTTTAGATTTCCATATTTGTAAATAGTTTTTTGAAGGCTATTTAACTGTTGATTGGTGTTCACCAAGAGTTTGTGTTGTTTAGAGTTCATGTTCTTTAGACTGGTACCGTTACCAGCAGTCTGGTTGTCCAGGGATACTTCTCAGGCAGTGTTAATCTTAGCAAGCTGCCAGGATCTGTTCCACTGTCTCAGCCTAACAGTCACAAGTTTCACATCTAAACACTGGCTGGCATGTTTTCAAGTTTGGGGCGGGGCGGTCGGGTAGCCTGGTGGTTAAAGCGTTCGCTCTCCACGCCGAAGACCCGGGTTCGATTCCCGACATGGGTACAATGTGTGAAGCCCATTTCTGGTGTCCCCTGCCGTGATATTGTTGGAATATTACTAAAAGCGGCGTAAAACCATACTCACTCACTCAAGTTTGGGGCATATACTTCTGTTCAATTATTTATAATGGTAGGGCTATAAATATACTCATTTTCAAACGAGCAATATTTGGCTTCCAGTTATTTGATAGTGTTTTTTTTCCAAAACACCAAACCTTTCAAAGAAAGTTTCATATACTAAACTATGTTCTTTGATAATTTTATGTAGTGCTGGACCAAGTGTTAATTGTTTTATTGCCTGGTTTATGAGGTGCCACTGGCATTGTTACCATATATAGATATCAGATGTCTCTATTGTGTATATAGGTGCTAAATCTTTATTGTGTATATTTCCTGTAGGTGCTATATCTTTATCGTGTATATGTCCTGTAGGTGCTAAATCTTTATCGTGTTTAAGTCCTGTAGGTGGTAAATCTTTTTCGTGTATATTTCCTGTAGGTGGTAAATCTTTATTGTGTATATTTCCTGTAGGTGCTAAATCTTTATCGTGTTTATGTCCTGTAGGTGCTAAATCTTTATTGTGTATATTTCCTGTAGGTGCTAAATCTTGACCATGTATATTTCCTGTAGGTGCTAAATCTTTATCGTGTATATTTCCTGTAGGTGCTAAATCTTTATCGTGTATATATCCTGTAGGTGTTAAATCTTTATCGTGTATATTTCGTGTAGGTGCTAAATCTTTATCGTGTATATATCCTGTAAGTTCTAAATCTTTATCTTGTATATTTCCTGTAGGTGTTAAATCTTCATCGTGTATATGTCCTGTAGATGCTAAATCTTGACCATGTATATTTCCTGTAGGTGTTAAATCTTCATCGTGTATATTTCCTGTAGGTGCTAAATCTTGACCATGTATATTTCCTGTAGGTGCTAAATCTTGACCATGTATATTTCCTGTAGGTGCTAAATCTTTATCGTGTATATTTCCTGTAGGTGCTAAATCTTTATCGTGTATATTTCCTGTAGGTGCTAAATCTTTATTGTGTATATTTCCTGTAGATGCTAAATCTTGACCATGTATATTTCCTGTAGGTGTTAAATCTTTATCGTTTATATGTCCTGTAGGTGCTAAATCTTTATCGTGTATATTTCCTGTAGATGCTAAATCTTTATCGTGTATATTTCCTGTAGGTGCTAAATCTTGACCATGTATATTTCCTGTAGATGCTAAATCTTTATCGTGTATATTTCCTGTAGGTGCTAAATCTTGACCATGTATATTTCCTGTAGGTGTTAAATCTTTATCGTGTATATTTCCTGTAGGTGCTAAATCTTTATCGTGTATATTTCCTGTAGATGCTAAATCTTCATCGTGTATATTTCCTGTAGATGCTAAATCTTTATCGTGTATATTTCCTGTAGGTGCTAAATCTTGACCATGTATATTTCCTGTAGGTGTTAAATCTTTATTGTGTATATTTCCTGTAGATGCTAAATCTTGACCATGTATATCTCCTGTAGGTGCTAAATCTTCATCGTGTATATTTCCTGTAGGTGCTAAATCTTTATCGTGTATATTTCCTGTAGGTGCTAAATCTTTATCGTGTATATTTCCTGTAGGTGTTAAATCTTTATCGTGTATATTTCCTGTAGGTGCTATATCTTTATCGTGTATATTTCCTGTAGATGCTAAATCTTGACCATGTATATTTCCTGTAGGTGTTAAATCTTTATCGTGTATATTTCCTGTAGGTGGTAAATCTTTATCGTGTATATTTCCTGTAGGTGTTAAATCTTCATCGTGTATATTTCCTGTAGGTGCTAAATCTTTATCGTGTATATTTCCTGTAGGTGCTAAATCTTTATCGTGTATATTTCCTGTAGGTGCTAAATCTTTATCGTGTATATTTCCTGTAGATGCTAAATCTTTATCGTGTATATTTCCTGTAGATGCTAAATCTTGACCATGTATATTTCCTGTAGGTGTTAAATCTTTACCATGTATATTTCCTGTAGATGCTAAATCTTTATCGTGTATATTTCCTGTAGGTGGTAAATCTTTATCGTGTATATTTCCTGTAGATGCTAAATCTTTATCGTGTATATGTCCTGTAGGTGCTAAATCTTTATCGTGTATATTTCCTGTAGGTGTTAAATCTTCATCGTGTATATTTCCTGTAGATGCTAAATCTTGACCATGTATATTTCCTGTAGGTGCTAAATCTTTATCGTGTATATGTCCTGTAGGTGCTAAATCTTTATCGTGTATATGTCCTGTAGGTGCTAAATCTTTATCGTGTATATTTCCTGTAGGTGCTAAATCTTGACCATGTATATGTCCTGTAGGTGTTAAATCTTTATCGTGTATATGTCCTGTAGGTGCTAAATCTTTATCGTGTATATGTCCTGTAGGTGCTAAATCTTTATCGTGTATATGTCCTGTAGGTGCTAAATCTTGACCATGTATATGTCCTGTAGGTGTTAAATCTTTATCGTGTATATGTCGTGTAGGTGCTAAATCTTAACCATGTATATGTCCTGTAGATGCTAAATCTTTATCGTGTATATTTCCTGTAGATGCTGAGATCAATGCTTGTGACAAGAGTGGAAACACAGCTCTTCACGTGGCAGCTCGACACGGCCATGAACTGCTCATTAACACCCTCCTAGAGAATGGGGCTGATGTCATGAAGTGAGTAGAAAACAGTGTTGCTTTTTACTGGGGGTCCCATATATGTTCCTTCCTGACTTGAGCTTGGTTAGAGTGGGTACAGTGTGGAAGACTTATTTTCATGAATCATCACAACTGATGGCGTTTGTTGATGCTTATACCATTATTTATGCACACGTTATTTGGCTGTAAGTGTTCTCCAGTTTTTTATGTGTTATATTGAGGCCATAACAATGTCTAAGTTTGAATTTGGGTCGTACAGAGGGAGCACCTAGTGATCATGTCATGTAGTTTATGTTATTGTTAGGATTTATGGTACTTAACTTGGATCAGTAGCTTGAAAAAGTTTCTTTCTTGAGCACAGCCTTTAGCCTCAGCTCGAGAACATCAGGGCCGTTTTGTGGATGTGTGTGTTTCTGTTTCCAGGCGTGGCTGTAGTGGAATGCTCCCAATCCATGTAGCAGCACTGAACGGCTACGTAGACTGTGTACGGAAACTACGCTCTGCGATGCCATCCATTGACCTCAACATTCCAGACGATGGTGGGCGCTCATGTCTTCATGGAGCTGCCTGCAGCGGGTCAGTCAGAGATTCATAATCTGTTCTGTTATATTTGGTGTTAAGTGTGTTGACTTACAGGAAGGATAAATCCTTTCATATTGGAGCAATGTTGTTCACAAGTTTGCAATGGTAGTGTTGATGATGATGTTGGTATTAACGGTGTTGACAATGTTGGCAATAACAATGTTGATGTCAAAAACTGTTGGTGTTGGCAATGATGGAAGTGATGATGTTGACAATAACGGTGTTGATGTCGGCAATAACAATGTTGATAATATTGGCAATGACAGTCTTGATGTTGGCAATGACAGTCTTGATGTTGGCAAAAACTGTTTGTGTTGGCAATGACAGGAGTGGTGATGTTGACAATGACGGTGTTGATGATGTTGACAATGACGGTGTTGATGATGTTGACAATGACAGTGTTGATGTTGGCCAAAACTGTTGGTGTTGGCAATGACAGAAGTGGTGATGTTGACAATGACAGTGTTGATGATGTTGACAATGATGGTGTTGATGATGTTGACAATCATGGTGTTGATGATGTTGACAATGACAGTGTTGATGTTGGCCAAAACTGTTGGTGTTGGCAATGACAGAAGTGGTGATGTTGACAATGACGGTGTTGATGATGTTGACAATGATGGTGTTGATGATGTTGACAATGGCAGTGTTGATGTTGGCAAAAACTGTTGGTTTTGGCAATGACAGAAGTGGTGATGTTGACAATGACGGTGTTGATGATGATGTTGGCAATAACAAAGTTGATGATGTTAACATTGACAGTGCTGATGATGTTGACAACAAGGGTGTTGATGATGATGTTTCAGGAAGGTGGAGTGTGTGGAGTACCTCCTCCAGGAAGGCTGTGATTTAACTCGCCAGGATGCTGAGGGCAGGTAAGGACAGATACTGTTTGTCAAAGTTGCTTTTCAGATTCAGGTCAGAAAGGGTCCCCAGGACTCCAGCTTGTATACATGGTGTAAGACATGACTGAAGTAGAGACTGGATGCTTGCAACTTGTGACCAAGCTGATTGTGTGTCACTGTATCACAAGAGGGTTATTTGTTGTCCGTGGTTTTCACCACCTGATTGCCTGACCCAGACAGGTGTATTATCTGCAGCTGTGATACAGCTGGAATATTACCGACATCAGTGTAAACCATCACTCCCTACTTTCATTAGTTACTGAGGGTGGGATTGTTTAAGCAGGTGTCTGGTGTTTTTGGAAAACAAGTGTTAAGCTGTTCTAAATTCTTCTACTTGTTGAGAATGTATGTCACATGGTCATGATTTCCAAGTCAATTGACCTTGAAGATTACAGAAAATGTGTTTTCATTGTTTGCCTGTGAACCTGCTGTGCTATTACTCAGAGTAAACTATTGTGATAATGACACCTGAATCATGTTCCAGGACGCCCCTGCACTATGCAGCAGCCAATGTGCACCAGCAGTGTGTGCTCATCCTGCTCACAGCAGGTGCTTGTGTCAACATTGTGGACAGGCAAGGGTGTACTCCTCTACACTACGCTGCTGCTAGCGACGTGGATGCAAAGTAAGCTGATGTAGCTGGATGTGTTGTCATTGCAGAGGTTCAGTTGTAATATACCTAAGTTTATATGGTTCTGATATAACTGGTAGGGATGTCACGATATGGGTGTCACTCGATACAATACATATCTTGATGCAGAAGCCACGATACGATGCATACCTCGATATAATACATACCTCGATACAGAAGCCACAATACCATATGTATCTGGATACAGCATGCACAACATTTTGTGAGGAAAACCCCGTCATTAGACTGAGAATAGAGTCCACAGACTCACTAATAAAGGTAAAAATGGACAACTGACTAATACCCATCAACATGACACTAGTCAAGTCAACTATTCTGTATGAGAAAATGATAATAAGAAAACAAAGTTACGAACTGTATTATGGCTTCGCATCAGAAAGACAAAAAGATGAAAGGTAAGAGGAATTTAAAAAAATAGTTTGTACTTGTTTATTGATATTGATATTGCTAGATCAGCATGGAAATTGATATGGGGTTAGATGTGAATCGATGCCCTATTACGTGTATTGGGTACCGTATGGTGCAAAGTTTGCCAACGATGCACCGGTGAATCGCAACATCACTAGTAACTGGCATATTACAGTGGCATGAAACATTCACTCATCAGTTGTGGATCGGCACTGACATGTTTACTTACATCTGCATTTGGTGCTTGGTGTATGTTCAGGATGTCTAGAGTGTCTATGTTTGTCTACAGGGTGGTAGAGCACCTGCTGAGGAACGATGGGCGGCCAGGACTGAAGGATGATGAAGGCAACAATGCTGTCCACTACGCCGCTCTCAAGGGACACAAGTTGGCCTTAGAAATGGCAAGTACCTTAGGAGTTGACTCAAAATATGTGTCCAATGTTTGTTGTAAGATGTCCTGAAATACAGATAGTGTTACCACAATATGGGAGGGATAGTAACTTTCACCAGTGTCGGATCATCATCATTCCTTGATGACAAACATGAAACCTCCACTTGGGAATTCAGGGCAGGCCGACCCCTGATTTACAAGCAGCTGGGACATTGCTTAAAAAGCAGTTTGCTTGTTCAAGCAATACAACAGTCCTGTGTACTGTGTTCTGTAAGTTGTGAGATTTATCATCTGTGTTGTTCCCAGCTTCTGGATGCCGCAGCGACAGACTTGTTACGGAGCGGGGCAGCATACTCTCCCGGACATTTGTCGGTGAGTTGCTTTACCTGGTGTCATTATGTGTTGGTAGTGTGGAGGTCTCCTTGTCGTTACCTGATTCAAACACAAGAGCAGAAATCCACAAGGAACCCTAAATAACACTGAATATGGCTATTCTGCTACATTTCTCAGGAGGTTAAATGGAGAAATAGACTCAAAATGAATGATTGCACAATACAAAATAATGATGTGGGCTCGTTTCCAACTATGTTTAGAATTTGTGACATTATTACCCCAGTGAAAAGATGAGTGTGCAATTAAATTACATTCTCTGCTCACTGAGGGAACCGGGTGGCAAAACTAAGTTTATGTTGATAATGCTACAGTCTCAGTTCCATGTGCTAAATCTATGTTTGTGCCAGGTTTTGTCTCAATAGTGGCTTGGAATCAATAATTAACGGAAATGAGACGTTCTGAACAATGTAAGATTTCATTCTCTAAGGCTTGGTAGGCATGTGACACAGTGCATTCAACACTGAAGTACAAGTGTATTTGTATACTGATGTTTGTTTTCAGTCGTACAGTGGTCATAATGAGGCTCTCCACGTGTTGCTAGGTTACATGATGAATCTTGATGTCAAGGACCAGGATGGTGAGTACATTTGACGGCCACAGAATATTTAGAAGTAGAGATGGTATATTGTCACTGCACTGAGAGTATGTATTTCACATAGCTACAACTTCCTGCTTACTGAACCGGGAATGTTTGCTCTTTCACATTTATATCTGTTTGTGATGTGGTTATGGAGTTTTGTTGTACATTTTTAAGGCCGGACCATGCTGGACTTGGCTTGTTTCCGTGGTAACACAGACTGTGTTGAGACGTTGTTGATACAAGGAGCCAAGATTCTTGTACATGACAACATCACACGGCGCACACCTCTACATGCTGCAGGTGAGTGTGGAGCTGGGCTATGCAAGACTGAAGAGAAAATAATCTGGTTGTAAATGATTTAAGTGCTTTCATATGTCTTGGATATAAATGTTGCTCATTCTTGGAAGATGAAGGGGAGGCAACTCAAGTGATGGGACAGTTTACTTTACCTGGTGTAAAATTGTAGCTTCACATAGAAGCAGAGTTAATGAATCAGTTGTTGGTTATATGATCAGATGGTAAATCGGTCAAATATCTGTAACTGTTGGATTCTGACCCCTGCTTTGATAATCGTCAAAAATTCAAATTTGCTGCCTGGAAGCCCCCCTGGAAATGCTGCACACCATTGTTGCAGTTTGATTCACCATGTTGAGCACGGGCTGTAAAGGAGACTTGAATTACCAGACCAATGTTTCGTCTTCTCTGTTTCAGCAACAAGTGGTCATACCAAGAGCCTTCACCTTCTGTTGGAGACGGCAGAAGACAGCAACATCGTCGACTGTACAGATATGTATGACCGGTCAGTAGATTCAGTGCACCATGAATAAGGTTGACTCAACAGCCATGGTTTTCAGGACTAAAAAACTACCACTTATTCCTGACTAGAAACTGAATATTCTGACAAGAAGTCAGGTGGCCTTTGTAATGTCATGTTGCATCCACATCCTTGTTTTGTATAGGACGCCGCTAATGATGGCGGTTGCAAATGGTCACCTTGATGCCTCCATCTACCTCATTAGGAACGGTGCCATCGTCAATGCTCGGGATCTAGATGGGAGAACAGCACTACACAGAGGGGTCAGTATGCACATATTAAAATCTACTTGAACTAAATTGCAGACGTTCTGCAAAATAATCATGTGTAGTTAGAATGTGTGTGTGCAGAATGATTATTTATATCTTTTAGAGATTGAGGCCTAGTTGGTTGCAAACACTTCATGCAGTATTATTTAAGAAATAAAATACTTGTGATAGTTATTTATTGTACAATATAAGATAGCTATGCTAATCGCAAAGAACAATGAAGAAACATGATTTATTTTACGATAAAGCATTGTTCTATTATGGCATTATTTCTTGAGATTCGAACAATTGCTTGCAACTTGATGACGTCATATATTGGACGTTAATTTTTAGGGAGGAGTGTCTCGTGAATTGTTCCCCATGGTATTTCCTGAACATTCTCACAATTCTCATGTTGATTATGTGTACCCTTTCTCACTAAACCGGTTGCCATATCTCACCTACATTTGGATGCTATCATTTGGCCATTGTGTTGATATGCGTAGCCCAGCTACTACATCTAAGGGGAACAACTCACTACCCTCTAAAAAATAACATCCAATTTACAACATCATCAAGTTAAAAGTGTATGTTCAAATCTCTTGAAATTATGTCATGATAGAACAATGCTTTATTGTGAAAAAAACCATGCCTTGTCCTTTGTTCTTCTTTGCGATTCATCACATAGCTATCTTGTATATGAGGATCAGGTGCTAGTACCTCCAGGCTGTTGAAAGGTATGTGACTCTACCGGCCACAATGCCTGCTCAGCATAGATGGTACTTGTAGGGAGGATCTTGCACTGTTCAACTGGAAGGGGAACGTAGGTGTAAGTCTAATCGTGTGTGTACGCTCCATGAATCTGTTGTTCCATCATGCTGCAGGCTGCCAATGGTCACGAGGAGTGTGTGGATGCACTGCTTCACCACGGGGCAGACATGTCTCTGAGGGACAACCTGGGACGGACGGCTGTACACATGGCAGCCATATGTGGCCATGTTGGCTTGCTTGGGTCCCTCCTTCTTGTAAGTGCTACACTGGTGCATGTTGCCATTAGCAGCTAGGAAATACGATCTTTTGTACCCACAGAAACAAGGACGACGTTATTACTTCTGTTAGATTGTTGTTGAAGTTTTAGCCAATTATTTCTTATACTTAAAAATAATACTTAAAGAATAAAATATAATTAATCAACAAGAGTAAATTCTTATTACTAGACTTATTGAATGGAAACAAAGGATCAACAAAAGTAAATTTTTTCTTCATTATCATTTATGCCAATCGGGATAATTTGCTGGATTTGAACATATCTCATCCTGCATGTTTAATTTAGGATGTTAAACTTTCTGTTACAGATGGGTCCTGTAGAAAAGTTAGAAGATACGAAAGGCTACACCCCTTTACATTTTAGTTGTTTTAATGGTGAGAATTTGTCAAGTTTTGGGCCAAGGGCACCATTTAGTATACACAGAAAAGTGTTCTCCCATGGCCACATGTTGATGGATGAATTGACTTTGCCAAACACTCTTGTGATAACTGCACTGGTTCTATGAGGCTAACACAGCAACAAAGGCAACATACTCCTCTGTTTGTGTGATCCACACTTACATGTCAGGCAGTGCTCGACATTAAAGCAGGTCCGAGTCTAGCATGTTTTCTTAAAGACCACTAAAATTAAATAAATGGTGGTCCGGTGGTCTAGTGTTATTTGGGTGCTGAACAAAGTAACTTAAGTTTGTACAACTTTTGACATCAACGATAGATTGAGTCTAAACTGTAAGCACCATGTGTCTAGTAGAGATCCAACAGGATCATGAGATTTTTTTAATTCTTTCATAACAGCCGCTGTGACAATGCTTGTCGTAAGAGGCGACTAACAGGATCGGGTGGTCAGACTCGCTGACTTGGATGATGCATGTCATTGTATCCCAATTGCGTGGAACGATGCACATGACATCAATCACTGGTTGTCTGGTCCAGACTTGATTATTTACAGACCGCCGTCATATAGCTGGAATATTGCTGAGTGTGGCGTTAAACAACAAGCAAACAAACAAACATTACGGCCCAAACTAAGTATTTTTCATTCATAAGAAATTGAGCAATTCAGTGAATGTTGGCTGAAGGCAGCGGTCGTAACATTTGAGCTGTAGTCATGGCAGCCTACTGACACTGTGAGCCTGGGAAACCAGTTATTGATAGCTTCGCTGACTGTGTGTTTGATGTTTGTGTTGACAGTGATACAATGGCGTCCTTGTGTTGCAGGTCATGATGGCTGTATAGAGTTGTTTTTTGAGCATGACCAGTACAAATATTTTACGGGAAACAGTTTCACTCCTCTCCACTGTGCTGTGTAAGTATTGCCTGCCTGTCTAATGGTCATGAGTAAGAGATGAAGAATAAGATTTAGATTTAGATTTAAACCAACCAACCTAAAAACACCCACACAAATGAGTGTTGTATACCTTGACTCTAACTTGCTAGGACTTCAGATTTGTTCATGTCTATGTCCATTGCTATCCCCTGGCATATAATTCCGGGGGATTTGGTCATCATTTGGTCTGTCTTTCTGTCTGTATTTTGTTTCCAAAGCATTACTTGAAAACCATGAAAGATTTTTCATCCAAACTTGGTACATGTTTAACCAGGGGCTGAAGTGGTGCCTTTTGCTATTGTGGGGGCCGGGGGGATTTGTCATCTTCTGCAGACTCTTGTGAAGATCCGGGTTAGAATAGGTCTTCAGCAACCCTTGCTTGCCGTAAATGGCGACTATGCTTGTCGTAAGAGGCGATTAACGGGATCAGGTTGTCAGGCTCGCTGACTTGGTTGATGCATGTCATCGGTTGCCAATTGCGTGGATCGACACTCATGATGTCAATCACTGGAATGTCTGGTTCAGACTCGATTATTTGCAGACCCCGTCATATAGCTGGAATATTGCTGAGTGTGGAGTTAAACGACAAACAAATATATAAATGTTATTTAGTGCAGAAGTAACTCCTCATCCACTTGTATGATACAAGACATCAAAACAAGCAAGAAAAAGACACCTCTTTCAAATGTTGCTTGTGGATACATTATAAGTTTTCACTAAAATGCACACATAGATATAGGACATTATGGTGATGTTTTAGGGTGTATTTTGAAAGAAGGTCTGGTTTTTTTTCAGGATAAATGGGAATGATGCTTGTACTGAATTGTTAATAGAGACGTTGGGCACTGAGGTGATCAACATCCAGGACTCCAAGGGCAGGTGAGGTGGACACAGGGCAAGCGGGGAATATTCATGTGTCAATGATAATAACTATGGCTGAGATACCAGATGTTCTTGAACATTCTGTGTTCTTGTGTATTGTCTGCTTCGGGAACAGCACTTGAAAGTATCTTTGGAATCTGTCCAATAATTTCTGATAACTCATGAACAAATCTTTGATACTTGGGTAGTTGACTTTGGAGAAGTCAACTTTCAACAAGATATTTCAGCAGCTGTGATGATAATGATTAGAATATTGGGACTACAGTGAATATGTCAGTGAAGATGGTGACAGTTTTTGTGATAAATGATTATTATTTGACTTGCAGGACCCCGCTGCACGCGGCAGCTTACTCAGAACAGGGAGAGTCCATTCAGATACTCCTTAGTCATAAGGCAGACGTCAACATGGCGGACTATGCAGGCAAGACGGCCATCATGTACGCTGCTATCAATGGAAATGCCAGCTCAGTAGGTGAGTATACGTAGAAGAAGTCTGAGGGGAAGTGGGGTTGGGAAACGTCCCTCATGCCTCCTGTTTGTCATGGCTGATGGTGTGCAGGGGTTGAAAAATTATTAAAAATGTTACTTGGCCAAGGGCAAGTATGACCAACATTCTCACTTGGCCTATTTTAAAATGTACTAGCCCAAAATCAAGCTAATAAATTCAGTAAAATGTTACTGCTGCAGAACTGAGAATAAGAGATACACCTGTCCTCCGTGGATTTCTGTAATAAAAGATTAAAACTAACCCTTTTGTCTCATTTATTTACCATGTTTCCATAATGGCAGGTCTTGGATCAAAATCTGAAAGTTTCTTTGAACCATGTGTCATAATTGTCAGTGTATGACAAAGTGTCTTTTGGTTTAGAGCTGTTCTGTGGTGAGTTTTAACTAGGTTCATGCTTGAAAACATTCTCTAACAAATAGACGTTCCTGGACTAACCACAAGCATGAGTTCAACAAGTTTACAGATATGTAAGAACTTGTCAGGTGTATTTTCAAGCAGCCGCTGGTATGTATCAAGAACTGGTCTGGTGCAGCCTTTCAGGTGCCCTTTTAGGTCAATAAATTCTTTGGACATTTGTTTTCTTTCCTCTCCTGAGAACAGTGCAGAGAAATGTTCCATCAGCTCAGACAGGTCGGTGCTACCATACACAGACAGGGGCTCTCTTTGAGTTGGCCATTCTGTGAAGTCAAACACAGAGAAATGCTTGAGAGGCTTCTGTTTGAAGCATGAAAATCTCTTATCTAAGTAGGTGATGATGCCATCAACAAGTGATATGAGGAATGTATCATCTTTAAAGATGACAGGGGGGCACACACCATTTAGCTTCACACCATCAAAAGAGGATTTCTCATGGTTGTACATTTTTTAAAAGTATTCCATACTCTCCCCTGCTCCAACAGGATCAATTTTACAGTTTAGGAGCTTCATGACAAGACCTTCAATTGCTGAAGGGACTTCCATAATGAGAAGGTCTTCCTTCTGGAAGACAAGAGATACCTCTGTGAGGATAGGAAGGATAGCAAGAAGGATGCACATAGTTTTCACAAATGAAACTGTCTTCATTTTCCTCAGCCATCCCTGACACTTGGCACTTTGATCTGATCTACCAGCGGCCACACTTTCAAAGTGATTGAGTATTGAGTGAAAGCTTATCTTCAGTGCTCTAACAGCTCGGATTTTGCTCGCAAGCCATCTCACCTGTTTCACATCAGACAGATTGGCAAGATCAGTATTGAATATGTCAGACACGGACTTGAGTTCCCTTCTCACTTTTGGACTATAATGGTAGAACTTAAAAACTTGTTTCAAGACATCTTCAAAATTTGACAGACTAGGAAGATGTTTGACAGCATCCAATACGGCAAGTTCAAGCTTATGTGCTACGCAATGCACTGGTACAACATGTTTTGCTTGTTTGCATATTTTTGCTGCTACACCACCTTTGCTGCCAAGCATGACTGCAGCACCATCAAAATTCACGGATACTAAACTAGGACCACTTGCTTCTGTAGTACTCAACAGATCATCAAAACAAATGTCAACTGATTCAACAGCTTTTCTAATTCCATCAAGCACACCATCAGCATGACATTGTTCGAGAGGTACTGTTCCTGCATGGAAGGATACTGGTTGACCATGGCTTACATATCTCATAAAGACAGTTTCTTGTTCCAAGATGGCACTGTCAGTGCTTCCATCACTTAAAATTGTCACAAATCTCGCTTTCTTCAGTTCGGGAATAAATTCCTTCTGGAGAGAACATGCATTGATAAACTCGCGTGCACCTGCAATGTTCCTATACTTGCTCCCAATGTCAACACCAACACAGTCAAGTAGGTCCAAATTAAACTCAAAATCACTGAGCGGTTTCCCCCGGTAAGCAACATGGAATGCAGTAATGAATAATTTTTCCAACTTCTGCATTGTCTGTTTGTCACTGTTTTGTAAGGCTTTCACAATAGGACTCACATTGTCAGTGCTACATGTGTGCCCAGACAAAGGCATGGTCACATCGCAGCTGCCGCTGGTACTTGCTGTACTTCGACATTGAGCGTCTCTCTCATATGACATACCCTCCAAATGTGCATCTGATGTATCGTGACTTTTCAAATACTCAATTCTGAAATTTGAACATCCATCAATAAAAGTTCTCTTACGATTGCAAGCGTGTATGTTTGGGTACTTGGAACAAATGGTGCACTTCATGACTTTCGCTGTGTCATCATACGCAACCCAAGGAAACTGGTCTTTCCACCCAGCGATGAATGTTCGTTTTCGTTTACATTCATCATACTTCTTATTCTTGGCCGATATACAACTTTCGGAATTTCCCTCTGTCTTCCTTTTAAGGTCGTCCCCACCGCCAAAGAAACTTAAAATAGACCTCTGAGACATGATCGGCCATGTGCGGTACTGGCAATATAAATTGTTATTGCAGATACCCCTCTAGGTGCTAATGAGGCAAAGGGGAGGCTACTCTGTCCTTTACTAGCTTACTCATTTGAAACAAAAGACTGCAGATTTACTTACAGTGATCCCTCGCTATTGCACTCTTCAATATAGCGCTAACTCGGTTATTGTGTGCGGTAACACATGGCTCCCAAAACTTATATACACTTTTAGTAAACTCAAGTCACTGACACGACGTCATTTCCCCATCGCAAAAACATTACCACCTGCACGCAACACCAGAAATACCAATCAACAAATTCCGCAATTAAATCCTATTATTACACTATCTGGTTATAAAAAAACCACATGTTTGTACCTTGACATATGTTTGTAGCATATTTTATTAATTTTATTTAAAATTTCATTAGTACAGTTAAGATCAATTTTGCCGAAATCGTGCGTAAAGAGGTCGATAGATCGCACAACTCGCCGTTATTTACAGCAACCACGGTCAGGTTATCGCTATTGACGCCTTGAAATGAACTTTAGTTGACAACGAAAAGAAACCCATATTAAATAAATGCCATACTTTCACTCGTTAAAAGTCACATTTGTTGTAGTTTGACAAAATTACATTTCATCAAAGCTAGGCCTAACAAAGCATCTAAAGTCGGAAAATGTTTCAACCTTGCATTACAATTTCCAAGAAATTCCATTTCCAAGAAGCATGTGCCATATATGGAAGTGTTACTACGATTTAACAAGGAAACAAGCCTGGTTCTCGTTGTTGACCTGCCTGACATCGAAATGTATTAATCCCATTGGTTGACTGGCGTAGCTGTATGCAAATTACATTGTCAGTCTGGGACACTAACAAAATATTAGCCAATCAAATACCGTAACATGATCACATGATTACATTCGCGTGAAACTTGACCCAGTTCATTTTGTGTGCTCTACTTGTCCACGGGCATGCTAAAAAAACGTGTATTACACGCCCGACATCTAAACCTTACTTGGCACGGGCGTCGGGCAATGGTATTTTTCAACCCCTGGTGTGTGAATGTCCCACATTTGGTGTGGTTTGTTGCTCATGGTTTCAGCTATAGTTTTTCTGTCTCCCCGAGGCAAGCGTGTCCAATAGCCTATATCAAAGCCTAGTTTCTATCCTTGCCTCATCAAGGCCACTTTTCTTGGATCAACCCTGGCGCCATCTCGTGTCTTGCAATGAAAACGGGATATCTAATCAGGTCTCTGTTCTTATTACGTATAGCTTCACAAAGATGGCGAAAACCATAGCTGACGACCTAGTCGATCAGATAACGAAAACATTTGCGATTTCATAGGCAGTCGTTGGGGGGTTTAAAGGATGAAAAAGACATATTCCTGTCAACAGACACGTAGCGGTAAACCACGTTCATACGAAGATGTACCAGCCGTGGATGTTGATTTTGAGAAACGTTCTCTGATTGGACGATCGATATGTGTGATAGTCCAATCATATTTAGCACAGGAAAGTGGGCTTGATATGGCAAGGCTGGAAACAAGACTTTGAAAAAAATGCTAGTGGACGCTCTTGCCTCGGGAAGATGATATTTTTCCGGCCTCAGATTAATTTACGTTCTATTGTTATGTAACTAGAATATTGCTGACCATTAAACATGCTCCCTCACTCTCTCTCACTACTTGCTGTGCAGTGTCAGGTTTAGCTTCTTGTAGGTTAGTATGCCAGAATTACTCTGATAAAGATCCCAAGCATGGGGTTCTATGTTGATTTAACCCACCTCACTCACTCACTCATACACCACAGTTATTCTGTTACAGAGCTGTTGCTGGAGAGTGGTGCTGAACTTACTGCCTCTGACATCGAGAGAAACTCACCGCTGCATCATGCCTGCTTCAATGTACGTGGTCATATTGTTCTGTACTTAATACTCAATGACAACAGCGAGAGGATGTATTTCTCCTTATTTCCCTTGGAAGTGCTTCATTAAAAATGTTCATTGTTTCTCCAAAGTAATGAGCCCTCAGAGGTGCCGGGATCTGCTGTTTGTTGGGGAGAAGCCCTGATTATGACCCTTGGTATGTCATCGCCCACTCTTGGGTAGACCCTAGCGTGGTAACCTCTCGACCTGCGTCACAGCGTCTTCCTGCCACGTTCAGCTGATCTGCCTGAGATACTGTTTGTGGGGGAGAAGCCCTGATTATGACCCTTGGTATGTCATCGCCCACTCTTGGGTAGACCCCTGGCATGGTAACCTCTCGACCTGCGTCACAGCGTCTTCCTGCCACTTTCAGCTGATCAGCCTGAGATACTGGTGCTGTACAATTCCTGAAGATTTTGCACAAAGACACGGTGTCATCTAGCTACAGCATTATGTGACATGCCATTGTGTGTTTCAGGCAAAAGAGGATGTCGCTCTGTTGTTGTTGGATAAGATAGAAGACTCCACAACTGTAAATATGGCAAACTCTGAACTCAAAACGTAAGTTTCTTCATAATTAGAATAATATGCCAGAAGTTCAGTGTGAAATATAAGGAGATTCTGAAAAAAATACAAGTGATATGTTAGAATGTTTTGTAAGAGTAGAACAGGATTTATGCATGCCTGCTTTGAATGCATGGTGAAATGTTGAAAAGTATAGGCAAGGACAACTTGAGTCCTGATTGGGAAGAGCCCCACATTGCATTGTAACTGCCCCTAGTGGAAGGCCCAGAAGAGGTCACCAGCACCCAATTCTTGTTGTAAAATAAGGGTAGAACCATCACTATCTATGTCCATGTGTGAGCAGTTAGAAGCCGCTGGCATTTGGTTTGCTGGCAGGCATTTCAAACACTGTGTATGAGTTATGTTAGTTGTATGTGAAGGTTGCGTTGTGGCCCTGATTTATGTCAGTGTGTGACCTGGCTGATCATGTGATATAGCCATGTGGATCTAGATAGTTGTTTGTGCAGTCAACAACGCGATTATACAGCTGAGAGGTAAAACATTCTCACATCCAGTCACTTGCCATTGCCAAGTGGTTAAAGTACTGTTGGAAATGCTAGAAAATACTTTTAGCCTACAACCGATCAACGTACCCGTGGTTTGAAGTATTTCAGTCACAAGGAGTTCTATCCACAATTTACAGATGAAAAAATATGAACGAAAACAGCAAGTTGATTTATTCTAAATCCAATTAGGGAAATCTGAAACAGACTATAGAAATATGTGTATGCGACTCCATTATAATCATAACTCCTCGTCACCCAGTACACTGTGATATGCTTCCTACTTGCTGTTGTCTCTGCAGGCCCCTGCACCTGGCTGCCAAGCAAGGGTTGGTTCCAGTGGTACAGGATCTCATATCAAAGGGTGCCAGTCTCCTGGCCTTGGATGAGAGTGGTGAGTAGCAGCCATCATTAGGGATAGGTATCAACACTTGCCTTGACGTGCCATACTGACCGACAGCTCCATGCTTTGAAGGGACAGAACAATCAGTTCAGAAGTCGACTGACATGGGTGTAGGTGTGAGGATATAGGTAGTGCAAGCCCACAAACTCACTCACGTATTTAAGTCAAATTTTGATTATTCACTCAGAAATAATAACAGTTGACTTTTTGAGAGTGTTGTGTGCGAATTGGCATCGAAGTTTGCTCATTTTGATAGATTTGTGTTCTTTGAGAATGCTGTGCCCTAACTGGGTTGTCTCCCTTTGCAGGCTACACTCCAGCGCTAGCATGTGCCCCCACAAACAGAGTGGCAGATTGTCTTTCCATAATTCTTGCCCACATGCCCTTTGGGGGCACACCAAACAACACGTTAAGTCGCTCCATCAGATACGATCATCAGACGACAGCTTTTGGTAAGTCTTATACTCATGCCCATCTGGGTAAGTTCAAATAAGTTGCTATATGTATAATGTCACGGCCATCATTTTGTCATATTCATGTGCCTTTTAATAAATGCCAGTACAGACCATGATCCAGCTACCAGCAGAAACGTTGTTTGTAATTACATTGAATTGCAGGTGGTGCATGTTAGTAGATTATGTCAAGGATCTGTAAATGATGAGTTCTGTAAATGATGTGTTGTGATGGTGGTTTTATTTTTCCAAGTGGAATATTTGTTTTGATATTTTGTGTGATAGATTTATCTATCATTTATCCACTATTTACATGCTTTACATTGTCTGGTTTTTATAATAAAAGGCAAGGGTATATGGCTATACCAAGAAATTACATCTGTCCACTGTCCTTCCAAGGACATTCTTTTGTGCAACCTATAACTTGAAAACTGCACAGATTCTTGTCAACTTGGTGAACACTGAATATACCTATAGGAGAGATGCAGTGTGAAACTTGATTTTAATATTTGGATTTTCTGAAACTCAGCTTTTTATTAATTTTTTTTACTTAGAATTTTTCACTTTAACATTTGTGCGACCTATGACTAGAAAACTACTTCATTGATTCTTTTCAAATTTAGGGAACAGTTTTCATACTTATAGAACAGGTGCAGTGCAAAGTTTGATTTTGATATGTGTATTTTTCTGAAAAAAATAAGATTTTGTTCATATTATGAACTTATAAATGTGTTGGAGTCGAAGTTGGAGGTATTTGTGAGCCCTGCTCACTTTTTGTCTTGTTTGTATGTTACTTGATACCAGTTCATATGGATCAGTTTTCCAATTCCCCCAAAATAAGATAAGTGGACAAATCATCTGTGCCATTTAGTTGCGGCTAAAGAAAGACATATTTGATGTTGTTGCTGCTTCAGGGCTGCCGAGGACCCTGGACACCGCGGACCAGGTGAGCGGGGGCAGCCCGGCAGGAAGTGTGCAGGACGGGAAGGACTACTCAGGTTCATATCAGAGCTCCGACTCCGAGTTCTACTAACAAGTGCAGCAGATCCAGTCGGCAGCACTCTTGTGTCACTCAAACTTCAGCAGGGAGGTCATCATCATGTACCAGTGATCATCTTGTGATCTCATGAACACAATAATGTTCCCTTCAAACTGTCAACACGCAGGCAGTCATAGAGCAGTTACTTAACTCTTGTAATAATCAGGAAAGTTCTAACTCAAGGGTACAGACATTCTGGTCATACTCTAACTTGGATATATGCTTAAGTAAGTTGGCCCATGGCCTTCTTATAAGGGCTTAAAGCATCAAGTCTGCCCTGGCAGTCTACGTGTCTTTTCTCCCTGTTCTGAATGAGCTCAGTGTGCAGTCCTCACTGATTATGACGGGTTCACTTCTTCAAGTAGGCCTTACAGGCTGTTGGTTGATCTGGCTTGAAATGACTATGACCTCCATATCAAAGTCTTGACTCTGTGTGAACTTAGTGAACTGGTGTGCATCACTGAACCTTGGTAAAAGAGTTGTGTGAACTTGCGTGCATCACCGAGTCTTAGCTCAAGAGTTGTGTGTGAACTTGTGTGCATCACCGAGTCTTAGCTCAAGAGTTGTGTGTGAACTTGTGTGCATCACCGAGTCTTAGCTTAAGAGTTGTGTGTGAACTTGTGTGCATCACCGAGTCTTAGCTCAAGAGTTGTGTGTGAACTTGTGTGTATCTCAGCACCTTGGCTCAAGAGTTGTGTGTGAACTTGTGTGCATCTCAGCGCCTTGGCTCAAGTGCTTGTGTGAATTTGAGTGAAGTTGTGTGCATCACCGAGCCTTGGCTCAAGAGCTTGTGTGAACTTGAGGAACATGTGTGCATCTCCGAGTCTTGGTTCAAGAGCTTGTGTGAACTTCTGTGCATGAGGGTCTTGGCACAAGTGTTCATATCAGAGTTTGTTCTCAAATAAACTAGCAGGGCTGCTTATCACAGCACAGACTATCGGAGTCATTTTGCTGTACTGAAGCCAATGCTGACAGTCAGGTACCTCAGGGCTGTGTTGTATTTCTGTTATTGGGTCACAGCCCATAAGAAAAGCTCCATTTGCTAGGAGTTGCATGACAACACAGCGAAAAACTGGTATTTGTAAAATGAATAAAGGATAAAATGTCAATGTTTTGACCAATGTAACAATTAGGCAAAGATTTACCTTTGTTAGGAGAAAGTCATTGTCATTACTTTCTAATTGCTGGTTTCAAACTGTAGATCTGGACCCCTTCTGAGAGAGTGTTCACTTTGGCTGTCACTGATATGATCTTTTCCTCTGTAGAGTCTGGAATATACAAACAGCTTTAGCACTGCCCACTTGCAGCCAATCAAATCCCTTTTTTATAACTAGCCAATGAGATTCATTTTCTGTATTGATTATATGTCATTGCATCATTTTGAGTAAGTTTCACTTCAGTTTGTTGAAGGGTTTGTGATTTCCTGGAAATTTGTCTTAGGGAACATAGCTAAGTTAATTCTTACATTTGGTCACAATCGTCTGTGTCATCATGTTTGTTTGTTTTACATGTCATGTCACACTGTATTCAGAGTACACAAGATCAGTGTCTTCATGGAAACCTTCCTGCACACCCAACAAGTCCAGTGAGTTAACCATGTGTAACACTGTTTCCCTGTTTATTAAGTCAGTGTAGTGGGGTCTTTAAAAGTGCAAGACATTCATATTTTAACTGAACAAAACCAGGGCCCTATCCCAAAAATCATTTTTGCATTCTTGCTGTCATAAGTTGGGGCTCAAGTAGTGGAGTTGGATCATCTGTGTGCCAAGGTCAATTTGTGAACAGTGGCCCAGTTGCGATCATCAACTGACTTCAGGTTAGGATACTGTCTGCAGATGTCTAATGTCACACTGTTGGTCACTGTCCACACTTGTGATCATAGATGTGTTTGTGTGAGCAAAAGATCTCTCATAGATATTCCAGATTTTACAGTGGGGTTTTATTGTGCCTAGGTTGGTCCCGTATAAAGGTCAAGATGTCACAGGAACACTACACTTTACGAGAGTTAACATTGTTTTTACAGTAATCTTTTAATTCCTTGGGAGGGGAGGGTGGGGGAGATATTTTGAGGAACTATTACACAAGGGTGGGTAACTTGTGCTGTAGAGTGTAGAGCAATCCCCCAGATACCAATGAAGTCTGAATCTTGTCAAAAGTTCGCTGAAGTTGAAATATTATTTTGGAGGCTTCAATTACATTTTGACTCCTTGCCATACCCCTTGAAAGAAAATTTAAGTATTAAAAAATTGTATAACATATTATATGTGGACTGTCAACTTACGGGGATAGAATGGATCTTATACTATTGGCAGTGGCTCTTGACCAATGTGAGGACTTGACCTAGGCACAACACTGTTATTGTTACTGTTATGATTTTATGTGACTGTTATGTCTTTCACTGTGTTGTTTCTCAAAGCTCAACTTGTTGCAGATACATAGTTCATAATAATGACACAATCTAGCATTTTGTCATCAACAGCTTCAACAATCAGTGTCTCCCATGATGTCTGATACAGATACACGTTAGGATGTTGTTTCCTAAATACCATTGTCCATTGTCCACTCTGTGATTGCCCTAAACAGCCCTGTTCCCGTCCGGACTCCTCCCGCCTTGTTTCATGGTCAAGTGCCTGCATCATTCCACATGTTGAACATACCAGTGATGAAATACTTCCATGTACCTATACTTTGTTATCTGCAATGTGGTTGGAGATTAATTGCTAATAGGTTATATGAGATTGATTGGGGGACATAAAACCTAAGCTGGTTGATTGTTTTATGGGTAGCCTTGTGAACTTGAACTCTTGTTTGTGTTAGACTTGGGTTGCCTTTTAGTGTCAACAATGAACTCACTCTCAGATTTGCCTCAGCTGTGAATAATTTGTTATATCTGTCCCTGAAGTATTCTGTGGAAATATTCTTCCTTTTTAAGCCAGGAGTTTGTCTCCTGTTCAGAGTTAAACAATCAACCTTTTCATCGGCCCACCCTAGATTTGAAGATCGTCTATAAATTCAATAACCCGGTAATATCAGTAGATAAGAGACTCAAACTGCTGAGTTCATATAGCTTGAACAGCTGTTAGACAGATTATTTATAAGTTGGTAAGTTGTAGTGTGTGTAATATATTCAGTAAAAAAATGTCTGATTTACTCAAGATGCCAGATAACAAGCCATTATGATTGTTTTGTACTGTTGGCCCACTCTCGTGTCCTGGATAATCTGTGTCGCATAGAGTGACTGGCGCGGGACGCATGTTGAATATCACTTCATGGTTTGGGTTACTGTCCATTGTTGATATTATGTTTATTGTTGTAAGTGAAAGGATGGTTTAGTTCTATTTATTTATGTCATCAAATAAAACCCACCAAGTATCTCAGAAGAAGTTCTGAGAAGCCATGAAAGACCCCAGTTGATTTGGTTGGATGTAATGAACTGTTGGGTTAGCATGGGACAGCCTACACACTGGATGCTTGTCGCCGTGAGATGGAATGGGACCATATCTTTCATAGCTGAATATCACAGTAAATAGTAATTTGTCTCCTGATTTGACCTACTTATTGAAACAGTTTTTATCTCTGGTTGCCGTGAGTGGTGGATGTGGTGTTCAGCAGTAGTTGTTCCTCTGTCACCACCAATAGGCTTTGGTCCCTCGACACCTCAGTATCTCTCCTGCATGGATTCCAGGCTTGCATAGGTCCATAGCCGGTTCATAGCCATAGTCCTGTGCCGGTTGTAAGAGGCAACCAAATGGATCTGGTGGTCAGCTTCTGTGACTTGGTTGATGGCGTGTCATAAAACTCGAATATTGCTGAGTGTGGTGTTAATCAACAAACAAACAAACCTCATGATCTTCTGATGGGTTTAATAAAATCCCAGTGACCATACTGTAGTCACATCTGTAGAAACCTTCATTGAAAGTCTCTTTTTATTAAGCAAAGGTGGTTACTCTTATTGCCTAAACATTTTGGCAATTCTGAAACTTCACAATTGTTTTTTGTTTAGAATGTCTACTGTTGTTCCTTTCCCCAACAAACATTGTGTCTGTCATGACTGACACGGTGACAGTCAGATTTACCACAGTCCACATGTGGACTCCTAATACCTATTGCATATAGTCACCCTATTATCTGAAGTATTATGTGTTTAACACAGAGAGATAGATACATATATAGATGTGTGGTGGGTTTTGTATGGTATCTGGGAGTGAGATGATGAAATGTGTGGATAGCGGTGTGTACTAACACCTTTAGATGAGACAAACAACTGCACATAACAGACGTATGTTCCAACATGCACACTGCTGCACCACTCTCATCAAGATCAAATCTTTGTTCCTTGCCGTGAAACAATCATCTGAAGACGTTCCATTACGGGATCTTTTATGAACTTTCACCAACCAATAAAATGACCGATATAAATCAGGAAGTCAACATTTGCCAATCAGAAGGCTGCTTTCTCTGGCTTTACGGCACTAGTTGCGAAGTGTCTACTGCCATTCCAGACTGTGCTTTGAAAACTAATTTGACCAATTCTAAATTCAGAATTTGATAACCAAAGAAAAGAATATTCTGGAATGTCTAATAGATTGCCAAGATTGAATGGCAGTACTCCCCTCAGACTATGGAAAGCCTTTTTGTTTCTAATGTTAATCCCATTGAAGCGAGAGATAGATGATGATTTTGATGGAATCTGTCGTACAGCCCTGAACTGTCTTTCAGAAGACCCTGTGTTGAGTTTTTTGAGGTTGCATGATTAGAAAACACACTCTTTCATGATCTGGTAAAGTAACCTCTGGTCAGATGAAAGGCTGTTTCTGTGTGACCTGGAATGGAATGTCCTCAGATCTTCATTTAGTGGTAGCGAGAACTAAGGTCTGATTTTAATAAGATTGACTGCTGCAGTGACTTATGCGTATACCTGCAAATGTATTAAACATACAAGGATGTTCATTTCTTATAGGACACAGGGTTTCTACAATTTTTTTGTGCACTATGAGTTTGTAAGGTTTTGAGAGATGACGAAATGGTTTATTCACATGTCACAAATTTCTGCTTAGTAAAGTTAAGTGAAATATTTCATGATCAACAAATCATTTTACCTGCTCTGGTACGACTCGATATTATCGTGGTATCTGTAAATATCGTAATCCACACCCCGTCGACTGTTGACTTATGCAAATCTAAGCACGATATTTCATCGCTTGATCGAATACAGGACTCGTTGCAGTATGACATAGCTACTCGTAAGTATACACGTTTTTTTATGATAGTTTCTGGAATGTTGTTTTAGTGGAATTACCCCTACCTCCATTTGAAATTGATTACAAAAGAACCCATTTGTTTGGAAGAAGAGCCTTGACCCAACCTAGGTCGTATGCATACTAATTATGCATAATCCCAAACAGGAAGTGATGTAAAGTACATATTCCACATGTGTCATACCACAAAATAGCCATACCTCGCTAATATTGAGTTGCCCAGCTGTCAGTCACTATTGACAGGTAAATTGTTTACCGAACTAGGTAAAGAAAATCAGCATCGATCAATCCTAATTGATGTGTCATAAAAGTTGAACAAGGAAGAAGAAATATTTTGCATATGAAATATTGAATAAGTTAGTAAGTGTGCACCATTACGATCCATTATAAATTAACTGCTGTGATAATCTAGCGTACAAGGCTATATATCCATGTCAATGTCTGATAATAGATGCTAACGTACAGTAAAATTGGCATTGTCAATAATCATTTATTAGTCCTATCTTTTGTTTTAAACATGTTTTATTGACATTTGAAAGGTCAAGTGGATTAGGCAAAAGTCCTGTGTGTTCAGTGACCGCTCTATACGAGTGTTCAAACTGACAAATCATTGAACTTCTTGGAAAGTATTTGGCAAGTCTGTTTTTCCTACTTACTCCCAGTTTATACCTGAAGTTTATACTGCATGAAGTTATGTCATTCAACAAATGTTCAAATCCCAGCATGAGACTCCGGTTTTATTGCAGCTCCTAGCTGCCATTGCTCCTACACACACTATCCAACTCTCAGTATTCATCAGTACTGTCTATTACATATGGGGTTATCTAATCTAGAGCCAAGTAGGCTTCAAGTTGAACATCTGTCTCCATCACTAGAGTCTGACCAGCTATTGTGGGTCATCAATGCACTGCAGTGATGAGAGGAGTTATGGGGGTGTTTGTGGTTCAATGCTCTTTGGGTTAGGACATGTTGCTGAACCATCACTTTAGGATCCTGTCTATGAACAGCTCCAGATACAAGGCGTACACAAATTCCAAACCTACACTCAGACTACTGGGAGTTTGGGGGTTTATTTGACATGCACAAAAAGGGAGGTAATTCTTCCTCAAAAGCACATAATTCTTTACTGGCACTTTTGCCTTGAGATTTCAGGGCGGTGGGGTAGCCTAGTGGTGAAAGTGTTCACTCGTCACGCTGAAGACCCAGGTCCGATTCCCAACATGGGTACAATTTGTGAAGCCCATTTCTGGTGACATGATATTGCAGGAATATTGCTAAAAGTGGCATAATATTACATTGCTTTCGAATTACAATGTATGTTATGATCACACTCAAAACACTGTACACCTTGTAATCACAAGACAAGGGAGGTGATCCATGGTGTATTTCAAAATGGCGGCAATATTTCAAAACTTTCAGACACATTTTCTCTGTTAATTGCAATAAACTTTAAAAGTGCAATAATGGAAAGTTCTACATTCATCTCTAATGTTATTTCTAGGATTACGACTTCTCTTATTTCCAAAATCATACTCAAACTTTGAATATGGCAGCTGGTGACCTGATTCACAGCCAGGTGATGATTGGATAGGTTTATCTGGTCACCCCTGATGTCATATTGCAATTATAAACTACCTTTACTGAAAACAAAACCTTGCGTTATTTTATGGATATACAAAATGTTACATGATGACTATATTCCAAACCTATGGCAAATCATAATGAAACAAGAGTAGTGGTCGATGTGACAAACGCAGCATTAGAAATTGGCACTAGTCCTGCTTTCCTCGCCAAACTGACCAATACTTAAGGTGTCATAAGGACTAGCAGGAATTTGCCCTTTTTGAAAGGTTTTGCTATATATTATTGTAAGGACTAGTGGACTAAAACTTAGTTTTTATCGCTGCTTGAAATGCCCAGTAATTTGAGTGCGGCACTGAAATTTATGTACGTCTTGAAGTCTGGTGTTGCTTGCAGACCTGATGAAATGTTACGCTGCCCTCAAGCATGAATGTAGCACATGACATCAAGGCATCCAGGTCATGTATCCACCCCAGACTGGCCTCGTCCCTGTGAGGTGTGATCACATACAGCACTGTCATGGACTATTTTGTATAGATTTCCTCTGTTTTAAGGCTGTATATTTCTATTTTTAACTAAATTTTTATCCTTTTCTAATTTTTTTTTCATGAATTACTTGTTTTCTCTGATTTGGAAAGACTTTGGTGCCGAAACAAATACCACTGCCTATTAAACCGTCATATAGGCCACACCTATTTTGTCCATGGTTAGAAAGTGGGGAAAGATAGTTAAGTAGAAAAAATGTGGATTAGTGATAGTTTCTTTTGTTTTCTGTAGCAACATTTTTTAAATAGTATGTATTTTTTTTTTTTTGAATGATGTGAAATGACGAATCCATGGCTTGTTGAAAGAAGATTGTTCTGATTGTGAAGTAAGTGTATTAATTGGCTGAAGAGCGAAAGTGTCATTACAGTACTGGAGGAAGGACACTATCTAAACAGGAATGTGTATATGTATCAAAGAATTCTATTTACATATTAGGAAGATGTTTACTAATGCAGAAAGTATATTTCCAATATACAGTATGTAACATCACATACTGTCACAACCTTGTAACAAATACAGGCTTGGCACAGTGTTAAATCTTGGTCACTTCTTACCTTTCACTTTATCATTGACAGCATATTCCACACCAATTAGCTTTAAAAAGCTTTATGAAAGATATCAATGTTTCAGAGCCATCAATTGAAGCAATGGCTGAAATATGACAGCATGCACCTCTAACACTTTGATTTTGAATGTTTGCAGGAAAGATAATCCATGAAACTATCAATAATGTGTTTTGTTATAGCAGTTACAAGAGACTGTTGGTGTATAACACTTTTTTATCACTCCCCTAACCTGTATATGGTTTGTGTATATCAATGTAGATTGTATATCTAGTGAAAATAAGATTCATATTTTCTCATACTCATATTGTATAAACCACTTATTTGTACATTTCTGAGATGTAAAAATTAATTATTATAATAAATCTAACTTACAATGATGTTTGTTTTTGTCATTTTGTTTTTGCATTGACCACCTTTGTGTATTATTGAGTCAAACTCCCCCCGGACTGATTGTAGGGACATAGGGAACCCAGTAATCCAAGGTTCTATGTTCAGCTGTAGAGTGTTACATCCTAGCCATAATCGTTATAAAGGGGAGTCAACTTCTGGAACAGTTTCTATGTGCTTTATACATTGTTTTATCAGAGCCCTTGCCAAAAGTATTTAGATATAGCATAATATCCGATAGTGCATACACTGAAGTTGACTGAAGCTTTGTGCACAGTCAGAAAGAATTAGCAATTTGTACTTTATTATTAATGTCATTAAACAATATATCACATGACCCCAAGTCCGGGTAGTCATGTGGGTACGACCCACCCGACCCGAGTACCCGAGTTACCCATCCCAGCCATACAACAGATGCTGCTGTCTTTCCTCCATGTCCAGTGTCATTAGTTCAAAAGTTCAAGAGAACCAAGTATGTGGAAGAATGCTCATCTCTGTGACCCAGTGAGGTTCAAACCAGAAGGACATGAATGGAAGTTGGATGTTTTCCACTTGTATGTATGAAGGACCACAGATACGTTCTGTACCTTCATGTGTCACAAGACATGAGCAGCACATGTCCACACCCTGAACAGTCCGTTGAAGGTGAAGATGAGAGAGAGAGAGAGTGACTGAGTGACCAGTGATGAGGTTGTGCTTCGACGGAGGCAGTTGATCCTCACAAGCTCCAATGTAAGTCATCTAACACTTGCTAATTAGCCATTACAGGTGGTATAACAGAATGTCATAAAAATGGCTGACTATGATACGATATAAACCAGTTTCCGTTCAAGGAAAGTTGTAATGTGGACCGACATGACATACGCTGAATGAGTGCAGAAACTTTGTGTGTGTTTTTGCTGAGTTCGGACTTCCGTGTCAGTGAAGTACCGGCACTGTGGGAAATGCTAGAACATGCTTCATTTAAAAAGTACGAATTATAAGGCTATGAAAATAGCATGTGTCAAAATACGGTAAATCTACCTAATCTAGCCTATCATTCTTAACTGACACTTATATTAGCCTGAAAAGGTACTTTTACAGGAAAAACGATGATAACTTAACGTAAATATATTGGTGTGTTGTCATGCATGTATGAAACGACCTATCATCTGAAGACCTCACATCAGCCCGTGCATTTGCACAGACTACATTAGTATGATATTAACGGAGTCACATGCACATGTTTCTATAGTGCGGACCGCCTCCGTGGTCTTGTGGTAGAGCGTCCGCCCGGAGAGCGGAAGGTCCAGGGTTCGATCCCGGGCCGCGTCATACAAAAAGACGTTAAAAGATTGTACTTGTTGTTACCCTGTCTGGCGCTCGGCATTAGGGGCTAAAACAAGGACTGGTCGGCTCGGAGTCAGTATACTGTGTCTGAGTGGGGTATTCATGTTAAACTGCGGCATGGTATCTCAGTGAGATAGCACTATAAATCGGCATCAGTCCGGACTAGTACAAGCAGCCACACACACACATACACGTGCATGCACGTCGCTATATAAGTGCAATAATCTTGGACGCGACGTTAAACCCAATTTCACCTCACCTTCTATAGTGCGTTTCAGACCTCCCTCATTTGACTTAATAAATCTGATCTTGCTGTTTTCGTTCGAATTTTTCACCTGTACAATGCCGATAAGTCTCTTGGTGTTGGAATACTTCAAACAAGAGGCAGGTAGATCGGTAGTTACACCATATTTCAATAGCAACAGCTGATTATCAACCTAACCAAGTCATTGATTTGTAAGACTGAAAAGTTTGGATTCGTGCACCAATTTTATATCAGAATACATGTTCAAACCTTTTGGCCCCTCTTCATACAAAAATCACAACAGCGCTCTTAGACTATAGGTCCCCAGCAACCTTTGCCTGTTGCGTGGTCAGACTTGCATTGGCTATTTGGTCGATTGATACTGATTATCAGAACCGAGCAGAATTAAGATTTTTTCGGATCAAACAGTGTTCGAAATACCTGCCTGCCCGACCGTCCGAGACAGGATGATTTCAACCCGGGCTGCCAGATTTTCAAATCCCCCTGCCCGACGATCGGCTTATAATTCATATGTGAAAATATTCTAAATATTTCCCGATGATAAGCATTAATTCACATGTAAAGATGAATGATAAAATGTAACCAAAAAGAAACCCCGTTAGCTTATCCTGAGAAACATGATTATAGTGGGCAGGCAGGTTTTGGTCAGGGCTGACAAGTATTTCAGCTAGCCAGTCCTGTGGTCTGGCTGAAATTTGGGAGAGTTTCATACCCTAGATCAAAACAGCTCTTTTGCAGAATTTGGACAATTTGTTAAGAATTATATTATTAGTATGAGTCATGAAAAAAGAGAATTCTTACAAGTTTCTTTTTATTTGGGTATATATATATACTGAACCAAATTAAAAACTTCACAATCCTAAAAGTTTTAACATTTTGACCAGTTATCATTGTGGGCCCTTATTGTGTATTTAAACAGTAATGGCCACGTATTGTCACTTGTTTTCAGCCATACTTGTTAGCAGTCATTAACAAAAAAAGAAAAACACAAGAAAACAAAAGTCTTTACGGCCATTTGTCATGCCACGCCTTTCAAATGTGCAACGTGAACGTGCCATCGGCATGTTGCAGTCGGGAACGTCCGTAGCTGAAGTCGCAAGGACGATGGGTTGTAGTCGACGGACTGTTTATGATTTACAGACGCGTCTACAGCAAACGGGTACCACCACTGATCGCCCTCGGCCAGGTCGACCACGTGTGACGTCACATGCAGAGGATCGTCAGATTGTCTTACGTCACCTCCGTAACCGATAATTCTTGTGAATACCTCACCTCTATCACATCAGTGCCATAAATTCCTGTTTATGCTGAGAACCACACTATAAATTTTTATAAATTTTCAACAGACGTCCACTACACTGCCAACATATCCATAGTTGTGAGGGAAACCCTATCCCTTGCCAGAGGCGCCACTGCGCATGCGCAAGGCGGGAATCTAGTCACTTCTTTCCACTCTCCTACCCAGAGTTCCATGCGGCCGGCAGCCAGCTAGCATAGTACCTCTGCCACAGGCCAGCGCCATGTGACGATTCGTCACATCTTTCACAGTCCATTCAAGATATTGTATATGCTTTTCATCCGTTTCGTGTTTGACTAGTCTACACATTTTCATAAACAAATGTCAAAGAATGGTTAACTTTCATTTAGAAAGTATGCAAATACGTAAAAATCTACTTGTTTTTGCGTAGTTATCCTATGTTTACATTGGTTGTACGGCTCCACGTGCTGTCATCGAAGCCCAACGGAGGGCTAGCGACACTGTCACTTTGATGCATAAATATATATTGTCATGCAACTCACTGTCGCAGTTGTAGTAGCATATCTATATAGTTATGCAAAACAATATGTAAAGCGCCCCCAAATACTTGCATTAGTCCGTTCTATACTGATTTCTGAAAAAGCGCGTTTGTTTACAAACAAGAGAAAAGTCTGGTCACATGATATGCAAATTAGCCTGTGGCAGTGGTGTTATGCTGAGTCACCACTGCGACGGAGTGTGACTTCTTTCCTGTGTGTCCAGATGACAACAAGGAAAATATTTTGTTGCACATCCGTACACGTGATTGAGTTCCACACTTACAAAGCACATTAGATCTTCTCAAGCTTCATAGGCTACAAGCAGTGAGCAGTCTACAAGCAGAGAACGGGGGTATAAGAAGATCGGAAGTTCTAGTAAGTAATTAGTTAGAAACGTTTTGTGGGATGAGATCTTCATCTCAAGGACAGACACTCGTCTGTTCAGGCTGTGGGCAACACCAGATACCTGGTGACCCTCACCCTAGATGTCTATCATGCAAGCAACTGCACACAAAAGTCAAGGTGCAGCTATTGCGAGCCTCTGTCAAAGGAGAAAATTGACAAGCTCTACAAGGCATGTATCAACAATCCTGATTACAAAGATTACTAGCGCATCAAGTGAAAACAAGTGATTAAGCTCTTGGTGGCCATATTAATCACGTGGGTTACAAGCGAGTGTCGCGCGAGGGCGCCGTCTCACCTTATGAGGAGAAGAGAACGCGTCGCTCATCCCACTCTCCCAAAAGTTGAGGAGCAGATGCATTTTACCGGTCAAAAAGAAAGTGCCTCTAACTTGCATCCGGCAACGTATGGTACGGTCGATCATCGAGTTTGGACAGAAACTAACGATCTTCACCCTCTGCCGCGTTCCCCCTTTTAACTTAATTGAGTTCGGAATTCAATGTCTGTAATGATGTATAAAGCGTAAAAGCGCGAGTGTCGCGCGAGAGCGCCGTCTCACCTTATGAGGAGAAGAGACCCCGTCGCTCATCCCACTCTCCCAATAATGTTGAGGAGAAGATGCATTTTACCGGTCAAACAGAAAGTGCCTCTAACTTGCATCCGGCAACGTCTGGTACGGTCGATCATCGAGTTTGGACAGAAACTAACGATTTTCACCCTCTGCCGCGTTCCCCATTTAACTTAAATGAGTTCACGGAAAGAATAACAAAATTCAATGTCTGTTATGATTGACGCACGCATGCAATCTATGACCCGGCTTGGCCATACAGGGGTCGATCAGATTGATAAAAGCGCATGCAATCAATGTCTCAGAAAATCTCATATCCAAAAGAATCTGTCGCACAACCCCGGCTTGGCCATACAGGGGTCGATCAGATTGATAAAAGCGCATGCAATCAATGTCTCCGGAAATCTCATATCCAAAAGAATCTGTCGCACAACCCGGGCTTGGCCAACAGGGGTCGATCACAAGATTCAAGAGACCTAAGGATCTCCCAATAAAGTTGAGGAGCAGATGTACCTCACAGGTTTTTAACTAAAGGGATTCGGAGAAATTAACCAACTCAATGTTGTAATAATTGATAAAAGCGCACGCAATCAAGGGCTCAGGAATAAACTCTAAAAAAATTGATTGCA